GATCAAGCCCCGCCCACTCTAACGCCCACAAAACCCGAAAAACCAAAAATGCGAAAATTTCGGGAGCTATAAGAGCTAGAAAGTTGTGATTAAGAATACGTATTAGGAAGATGCCACTGCAACTTGCCCCTATTTTTCATCCGGCCACGCCCACTCCACGTCCACGTCCTCACATGGGCAGTGACGTCACTATCAGTTACTCAACATGCATTCTCCGACAATAGGTGGCGCTTGGGGAATTTCCACTAGCAAAATGAATATTTTAAAATTGTGTGAAACAGTAACTGGTATCTTTTAGTCGCGGCACTCGACTATAGCGTTTCCTCTTGTTTTTATTTAAATGCAGAAAGAAATAGTCCACACGTTTAAAGCTTAATGTTTAAAGCTTAAAATAACATTTAGTGGATAGAATACAATAAGCCAGGAATAATAATTTATGCTCACCGAAATTATATTAATAATTATAAACTCATTTAACATATTATGACGCTTCTCATTTAGCCTGAATAAAAATTAACAACTATAAGAAATCATAGCAGATTTCTGGACAAAGTATTAAAATTATATCATCAGGGATTAATGCGCTTAATCGGGCGATTATTTACATCAGGAGGCGTGCCAGAGAAGAACCTCGACCGGCCAAGACCACCTCCTTCCTCAGCTTACAACCGTTCCCAACTGAATGCGCATAAATTAGCCGCACTGACCAGGAAACTTCCAAGTGGCTGGTCAAGTCAAGATGTCTACTAATTGCCATTTTACTGTCACATTTGCTCGGGGATTTACATGTGCATACAATTCACATTATCGTTGCGACTTGGCAAGCTAAGCCTGTGCAGGGAAATGGCAAGGCAAGGCCACGCCCCATCAGGACTCTGACTCTCTCGAGCGGTTCGTGTGCATTTTATTAATAATTATCCTTTCTGGGACCCGACTGTGGGCTTATGCAAATTAGCGAATGGGCATTAAGTGCAGTTAACTTCAGCCTGCTTCGGCAACCATTTGGCGAATTTCAAGTTGAAAATGGGGGAAAGCTGGTTCTCAACTTTACTTCCGGCATAAATTTGTTGAAAAGTGAAATGAATTACATGTTCTACGAACAGAAAAGTTTCAAAAATTTTTAGTTGGAATGAGAGAAAAGTTTAAAGCGAAAGTTAACTATGCATAATGTGATGTATTCGATAATTGCCTGTTTTTTTCTTGCTTTCATTATTAATGCTTTATTGGAGGCTGGAAGTTATTATTTAAGAGTTCCAAGAAGCACTAGGATTCTGGGAAATCTTAAAAAAATAAAAAATTTTAAGTTATCCGATAAGTTTTATACTTGATTCTAGAATGAAACGATAAAATTAGCTAATTTGTTCGGAATGGAAATCACCTGCAATTCGAAAATCGTAAATGAAACCCAAAGAAACCGCCCCAAACTATGCTGTATATATTTTATGGGAGCGCTGATGCTGACTTGCTGAACCGGAGGCAAGTAAATTAAGACTAATTACAACATAATAACTATAAAATCGCAGAGACAAGTGCTCGGCAGACTCAACAGCTCATTGCCGGGCACTTGCCACTCAACGTAACGGCTGTGGAGCTGGGCCAAGTTCCTGGGCCGAGCCAACAAGAGCTGAACAGAACTCAACAGAACTGAACTGAACCAAACTGGCCGCCTGCAGCGCCGGAGAAAGGCAAGCAAAACAGACTGTAAAACATGATTAAGAGTGAAATATTTATTTGCAGCACTTGGAGGCGCGCCACGGTAGCGGCAACAATTAGAAGCTAGCTACAAGTACCAGTCCAAAGTGTACGGTACAACCGGCTCAGCGCCTCCCAGCGTCGACACGGCTTAAACATGTAAATGGCTGCAAGGAGGAGACCATGATTTAATCGCGCCCAGGAACAAGCACGGCGGCAACAAGTGCTTGGGCCTTAATGCTTATTTTAATTGTATTACAAGTTCGTTGGATACTATCAAAACTGTCTATATATATATACTATTTATACTAAAATTATTTAAACGATAAATGCGAGTTTATGTTTTATATTCTTTTTCCTCGTCAAAGCTATAGCCAAACTCATCGTCATTCCCGCCCGTGTTAAGCATGTCCTGAAGTATGGCCTCTGGTTCTGCGTCCAGTTCGGCATCAGCCTTTTTAGCTTCTGACTCAATAGTACTATCCAGATCATCTAAGAAAGAGATTTTATTTATTTCTTGGCAGGACATATCAGTTATTTGGTTAAACCCACCTGCTTCCAATACCTACCGCTGGCTTGGTATCCGGCTGGTATTCATCAGCTGCCCGACTAACAGGTAGACCCACCTCTACTTTGGGGCGTTTCCTACTGGGTCCCGGCAGATCTGCTGCTGCCCTGGTTCCCCTGACCTTGGGAGCAACAGGACCTTCTTCTACTATTTGGTTTGGTATCTGCACTTGTTGCTGGAGAACCATCCGACAATCCGCCAATGCCATCTGTCAGGGTTTTGAGAATTTCATAGTTGATCTTACTGGAGATCTTCTCTTCTTGCAGCATCTTTTCTATGGCTTCGCCGGCAGTGGACGAGGGTCTATGCAAAACGCATGGATCGCAAACATGGATCTGTAAGCCAAAGAATACAGATATTATCTATAAATACGGAAGAAACCACAAAAATACGCGATTGTAAAAGCCTTTCCGACTCATTGGGAAATACAAGTTATTAATAGTTAACAGGGAGGTATTAACCATATTAATCAAAACATTTGGAAACAAATTAGTGAAAAAAGTAAGGCTTAATTTCAGTTGCTTAACTTTGTTTTAAAATCATAACCCAAAACAAAAAATATTACTTAAGAATTTTGAACTTATGACGGAATAGATAGAATAGTGTTAGAGTATCAGCCCATAAACTTTTGTGGCCGAATTCGAAAATTTTTTTTCGCTACTTTGACATAGGTTTTTGCAAAAAAGGCCAAACAACAAATTGCTCATTTTTCTTTGTTTTTATGTTATAATTCAGCCAAAACAAATCCTAGAGCTAAGTCAAAGACAGCTTTGTGCAGCTTTCGACCGCAACTTTCACCAAATAAACTTTTGTGCCTTTTGCTTTCTGCTTTATGCTTTGGGCATTATTTTTGTGCTTTATTTTGTTTTGTGCTTTATTTTGTGCTTTATTTTGGGCTTTATTTTGTGCTTTATTTTGAGCTTTATTTTGAGCTTTGTGCTTTATTCTTCAGCCAAAACAAGGCCTAAAGGTAAGGCGAAGACTGTTTTATGCAGCTTTCGACCACAACTTTCACCCCATAAACTTTTGTGGCCGAATTCCGAAATTTGATTTTTGACCAAATTTTCGCTATTTTGACATTTTTCAAGAAAAGCCAAACAACAAAATGCTCATTTTGCTTTGCATAATACAGCCAAAACAAGTCCTAGAGCTAACTCAAAAACTGTGGCCGATCTCAGAAATAGAATTTTTTGCCAAATTTTCGCTTTTATGACAGGTCGGACTCATCAATTAATCAGCCAAAACAAGGCCTACAGACATGACCTGGGACAAAATGTCCATTTTTCCTGGATTTTATGCCATAATCTAAATTGGAAATATGCGACTGCATTCTCCTGATTTGGCAGATTGTGACTTCTGGTTAAGGGGGATTTCTATAAGATACAATTTCTTAAGAAGAATTCCTTTTCATTTTACCTTCCTTTTTCCCACGGCAATATCTTGCCTAAGATTCCTAATGGCTTCATCTTATAAAGATTTTGACATTGTAAAACGTCTTGTTAACCGAGGGTGGCGAATTCAATGCGAGAAAGTTTTTTCATCAAAAATCTTGAAGGAGAAGCCTCTATTTTCATCAAAAGGAAAATTATAGTTAACACCCGAATCATACCAAAACAGTTTCATTGAGCATTTCTTGTAATTTCTTTGAGTGTAGTTAACCTACAGAACCCCTCATTTAGACTCCTGGAAGGTTAACCAGAAATGATTTACTGGTAAGCTACATAAAAGTCACAAAGCTATGGCACCCGCACGACTAATTGCTTGTCAGGCGTATTGATCAAAAGCTTCTTTGCCACTAGGCCATTACAAGCGGCACGCATCAAAGTTGATTTTTAATTAGTTAATAATAAATCGAAAGCAGCGCGATCTCGAGGGAGAGTGACTGAGAGCAGCGAGATTGCTGCCAGCTTGCAACATAATAAATAAGAGCATATTGAACACCCACCCGCCACTCCCATAATTTTAGACGCTGCCCTGCTTTTCATCGGAAAATCGGAGTGGATGTCTCTGTGTAAATGAGCTTAATGAGCAGAATGAAAAGGCGTTCGCTTTTTCGTGACCGAATGAAATAAACAAAACGATTTTGAGATTAAGAGCTCGTCAAATCGGATATGTATTTGTTTACGCGGGATTATGCAACCGCCCGCACAGTGGTCTTCGGTTTCTGGTCGACTTTTAAACAATCAATTTAAAAGCAATAAAATACCAATTGACAGCATCAAATTCTCCATCAAAGAGTCAATTGCTAAACTCAAACTCCATAAAGACCTCGAAACGGAAATCTAGTAACTCTACGACATCATTGTCGTCATCTCAACTTGGCGAGCTGTAATGTAAGCCCCACAAAGTTGCTGCACTTTTTATTGAAATGGCCGGGATTGGGTTGCCATCTATCCACGGACGAGCGACCACTGTGCTGCATGCCAGAATCAGAGACTTTTCCCATTTTCTTCCGGACTTTTGTCTGGCGAGCGACTAACACTAAAGCTCCCGCTCACGCGCCTTTCGCTCAGCTGTTCCGCTTTTCCCCCAACTCTTTCCCGGCCTTTTCACCTTCTCGAGCAATTATTTTCCCGATTGAACAGACTATGCATGCATGCTTCTAGTCTCAATACCTCTCTCTGTCGCTCTCTTTTGCTCTCTCTCTCTCTCTCTCTCTCACTCTTTCACTCACTCTGTGGGTGTGTGCCAGGGCTTTTTCATCTGCCACACATTTCGAAAAAACTAAATAGCAACATCACAAAGTTTTTCAGTTTGCTTGTTGCTTTACACGCGTGCGGTTCGTTTAAATTGGCTTCTCTTTCGTTTTAATATAATTCAACCAAGAAAACAAAATAAAATAAAACAAAAAAACTGTGTGTGTGCGTCTTTTGAAACCGCCAAAGGTAGATGATTCTGAAATTCCGTTGCTATTTCGAACGGCTATGCAAACTTGCGTATACGCAATGTTGTCAACATGTCATCCATACGCGCAGTGGTCCGAGCGTTATTAATGTGCAGTCTTCTGCAAGTGCCGTGAAATATAATTCAAATTAGTTTTCTGGCGCTTAGTGACGCTCAAGGTGCGCATTGGCGCAAAATTCAATTCAATTCTAGAATTCCTCACCTACATACATATATATATATATATCAAATGAAATAAACAAGTTGAGATCTATGTGTATGCTGGCTAGAGGTTCTTGTATATTATTTTGGCAATACTACTTAACGAATGTATTTTCTATGTGAGTCAGCGGCTTCTTGCCGTGACCGCGACGGCAGTGAAATCGAAATGAAAGGCGGTGCATTTGAAGAAATGAACAAGTGAACAAATGAGACCACCTCGCTCCCAATTTAAAAATGTTCCCCAATTAGAAATGTAAACAAAAGGCCGAATATAACTTGTCGGCAGGTGTTGCATCCCGTATTGTTTCAACCATTTGTGGTACTTCCCAGCGCCAGCTCGCTGAAGAAATGTAGTGATATAACAAAGATATAAGGGCGGGCGGCCAGTTGGCACTGGATGCATATTATGGGTCCCCGAATCCGTTTCCATTTTGTCAATTGCGACTTGGCAGCATATGAGCATGCAAATAGATATATGTACATGAGATAACTAGAGCATCATCTTGTTTTGGTGCCAAAGTCAAGCGTATAATTGCCAGCCGGAGGCGGATTACAGGGACACTTGCCACTTGCCACTTTCACATACTAACATACACATTTGCTCGATGCTCAATCATCGATGACGAGCGCCCACAACTTGGCAAAAATTTGCTTAACTTTTATTTAATGTCATTATTTCCGATGCCTTTCAATGGCCTTTCGCAAGCCATATTCATTGCGCTGGCTGAAAGTGCTTTTGTGGGCTGCGGTTATACTATTTATATATGTGAATGGGATGTGGGGCGTTTGATTCACCATATCTGTCGCCAATACCATGACAATAAAATGGCAAACCGAACAATAGTAGCAGCAACAAATTACATCTAATAGTAGAGTAACGCCCAGGCGGCAAAATTGTTTTTCAATCGCTGAATTGAAAATGAAATAGGTGAAACGACATCGAAATTAAAACAATTTCTTGGTCATTTGGAAATATGTTAATGAAAATTGCTTTGGCATAGAAATTGCAAAACAATTGAGAAAACAAATAAAGTTGTTTTATTGATAGTTTAGCAAAAGTGTTGGGCACGCGATCTCTCGGAGGCCTGTTACTCAATCAGTTTTGACTGCCATCTGGGAGATTGACATCCAGTTTTTAATTTCCTGCCCTTTTTTAGATACTCTATAAGATTAGCATTAGAGTTCGGAACTTGACATTCCAAGCAATTCCCCAGTCACCCACACATTCTGACTTTGGTTTGGCTGCTCATTTCCAGCATGATTGGCTTCGGCTTTGCCTTTCTTTACGCATGGTTAATTAAAGCAGCAATTAAATACATTTTATTTAAGCTACAGAACAGAAACCGAAACAGAATAGTTGCCAAATTGGTGTTTTCCAAAAAAGAAAAACCAAATTCAAAGGCTACCCGCGAATAGCGGAAGTTATAAATTCCTAAGCGGGCTGATATCATGGCTATTTATACATATGTCGCCATCAGATGAGTTATTACCCCAGGGACTAGAAGTTGGTCAGACGGTGCACGGCATATCAATTAGAAGAAAGCGCCGGGCGGGGCCATCACCCTTTGTCTACGGTTTGGCATATGCGAATCTCCACCGGACAGCTAGGTGCAACATGTGCGATATGACCCAGCCACGTTCCGGTCATTAACCGGAAAAGTGCATCGCTCAGACAGAATAGCCATTAAGCCCCAGTCCCAGGCCCTTTCCCATTCCCATTCCGCCGATCTCGCCACTAACTCAGATCATTAATTGCAACCATTTGATTTGTTTACTCCAAAAAAAGAAAAAAGAACGCAACAATTCGCAAAAGTGCAGAAGGCAGGAAGAGCCAATTCGGGCAAACACAAACAATTCTTTCGCTTTCTGGCCAAGTTCTACAGACTGCCGACTACGAACTACGGGCTGGTACATCGCGGGAATATTTAAGTGCAAATAAAAACAATGACGACAGCCAAATGGATTTGGCGCTTGGCGCTGAGCATCTTGCTGGGTAAGTACGACCACCTATTACTATGTTATTTTAAGGCCGACCGATGCTGATTTTATGGACTTTTGATCGATTTACGGTATTTTTGGCCAGTTGAGTAAATGAAAAATGTTTCGCACATGGCCCTAGGAACTTGAATTCCTATTTCATTCTCTACCATTCATAGCCAGCGATTAGAATTTTCCGGCACAGTGCGTCACGAATGTATGTGATCGCCAATCTCCGGCCAAATGGCATAATGTTTATTTTTACAAATGCCAAATCAGCTGTGTCAACTGGATGTTTGCCTGTCGTTCCGTAGTCTTTGGTTTTTTATACTACATTTCTTTTAAATCACATACTCGTAAACCAATCTCGAAGAGATGAGTATGCGGCTATTAACAAGAAAATAAATTCCCAAATATTTCCACTTAAACAAAAGAGGAATAATAAACATAGAAAGATGTCTGATTTAGTCATGACGAAGATGGAATGCTCTTGAAAATCTTTATTACTCTTAAAGAACTAAAAACAACATAGATTTGAAGGTCTGCTGATTGCAAATTTCATAAAATATATTTTTATAAAATTGTATAGTAAGCATTATTACAAATTCTTTATACCTTCGATGGGTCTAAAATGTATTTTTGTTTTTCATTTTTGGCCTACCATGTCGCTGTTTGTGGACTAATATATATATATATTATATTTATTTAAGCTTCGATCCATATGGCAAAAAAAACATTCGCATTCGTTCTTTTTTATAATTTTCACAAAACTTTGACAAATCACGCTTGAAAGGCTGGCCAAGATGCGGACACTCGTTCACTCACTTGTCAGCTGATCTGTCTCTTTGCGTTGACATCCCAATCAATCCTAGGCTATGTGGTTCAATTGGAGACCCACAGCAAGTCGAGCAGAACTTACATTACGCATACGTAGCGTTGACTCAAGTTGGGCGGTTAAAAGCAGGTGGTCCATTGAAAGTGAAATTCAAACGAAAATTCAGACTGTCACCACGGAGATGCTATGTCTCACTTGAGCAAATATATATATATGATATTTTATAGCAAAAGTCAGGAAAACGAGAAGACCGCGACGCATGGCCGTTTAACGAGCGTGGGAAATTTGTCCCGCTACCGTGACGCACTTGCTGTTATTTTCGGACCACTAGTTTGGCCATTAATAAATAAGCATAACGAATTTGGATACTAATGGCAACAATTTAAATTTTATTTATCAACATCTTTTACGACTTGCAAATATTTCGTTTGATTTTTAATGGCCTTCTTGGATTGTTTGCAGTCGTGGGCTTCGTGGCTGCCGAGAAGCCAAAAGGGCTATCATCGGGAGATTTGCCAGTATCGCAAGGGCAAACATGTGAGTTGGGAATCTTTGAGTACATATATATATGTTTATTTACCCATCTGTTTTTGTAGATCCAGCCTATGAGCGTTTACCATAATCGACTGATGGCGATGCGCGAACAAATGCAGATCAGAGCCACGCTGCAGGGGCCTGAGATTTATGGTTACATATTGCCCTCTACGGATGAGCATCTCAACCAGGAAGTGGCGAGCCGGGACCAAAGACTGCGATATCTTTCTGGCTTTTCAGGAGTACGAGCTTTTGCAGCCGTAACCAGTCATGGAGCAGCCATTTGGCTAGAGAATAGATATGCTCAACAGGCGGATGGTGAGCTGGAATGCGACTGGGAGATCTATCTGACCAGCGGGAATGTCACCGTAGCCGACTGGCTGGGTAGCCATATTCACATTGACAAACGAGTGGGCGCCGATCCTCATCTGGTTCCCCATTCCCTTTGGGTTCAATGGGAGCGAGAGCTTGAGGATAAGTTCCTCAAGTTGGTCAAGATCAACACCAACCTGGTGGATTATATTTGGGGTTCCGAGCGCCCAGAGACGCCTAAGAACCAGGTGATACAGGTACATCCGAAGCATTTCGCTGGATTTAGCTGGCAGGAAAAGGTCAAGGAGCTGAGACGTCGGCTGGCCCATCTGGGCTGTGATGCAATGGTGGTCACTTCGTTAACTGAGATTGCTTATTTGCTCAACATTTGGAGCACAGACATTCCTTACACGCCTGTGGTGAAGGTGAGTTGGTTTCTTCTCGTAACCCTACCTCCTTTTCAAATCTACGTTATCTTAACAGTCATACGCCATCGTCAGCCAGGATGAAATATTCTTTTATGTCGACCATACCAAAATCAGCCTGGGCATTGACCTTCATCTGCGGACAGATTGCATTAATGCAGATTGCGTGAAGTATGTAATTTAGGGTGGAAAGAAGAAAGCATTATTTTAAAGTAATTCTTGTTAACCCTAAAATAAGGATTAAGGAATACAATCAAATTTGGAGTGATATCCGCACCTATGCTCAGCTCTGGAAGCGCGTTCTGGTTCCGATACCCTGTGTACAGGAACTTGGCGCTTCGGAGGCAATATATACCTCAATGCCGGGAAAAATTGTCGTTTCGGAGATCTCACCCATTATCTTTATGCGGGCACAGAAGAACTCCGATGAACAAGCTGGAATGAGGAGGGCGCACATCCGGGATGGAGCTGCCATTTGCGAGGCCCTGAGCAATATGGAAACTAGGTTCCACACGGAGCAATGGACCGAGGAGAAGATTAAGTACGAGGTGGAGCTGTGGCGTTTGTCGCAGAAGAATGCCAAGGGTCTATCCCTACGAACAGTGGTAGCCTACGGAGAACACTCCGCCTTACCGTACTACATCTCCAGCAACGTGACCAACATCGAAGTCTCTGACCAGAGTCTGCTAGTCATCGAATCTGGTGGTCAGTATCTGGAGGGTACCACTGACGTCTCGCGCACCTTCATCTTCGGTGAGCCTACGCAGGAGATGAAGAAGGCGTACACAAATGTGCTGGCTGGAATTCTGCATCTGACACAACTCAAGTTTCCCTCTGACCTGAAGCCATCCGAGGTGGACGCCCTGGTTCGCAGCATGGTGTGGAAGGAAATGACGGACTATCCGCAGGCAACGGGTCATGGGATAGGAGCATTTGGTTCCGTTGAGGAACGTGAGTAGACGTTTTTTTGTTAAATTTATATTTTTTAACGTTTTACCATCCGAACAGCCCCAATATCAGTAGCCTATGGCAAGAACAGCAGCTTCCATTTCAAACAGGGCTACTTTTTCTCCAGCGGTGAGTTATCATAGCACTTTTGCAGGAAACTGATCTTATCTTATTTACCTCTGTAGAATCCGGTTACTATAAGCGCAATGATTTTGGAGTTCGTTTGAAGAACGTTCTTGAGGTGGTGGACACCGGACACAGGCATCCCAGTGGAACACACTTCCTTGCATTCCAGGACGTTACTATGGTGCCCTATGAGCCCAAACTGATTGACAGTACACTCCTCAGTGCGGCGGAAAAGCGCCTCCTTAACGAGTACAATGCCAAAATCCGAAACGATGTCGGAGACGAGCTGAAGCGACTGGGTAATATGCGTGCCTTCTATTGGATGATGAACCAAACGCGACACATCCGGGAATATCTGCCGGAGGACGAATACCGCTCGGCGACTGCGGGAGGAAGTTGCGGTCACACCACGAGTCCCCTGATACTCCTGGGACTCTTGATTATCTTTTCTGCAATCATCCATACGCAATCCTAGGGACCAGAGTTCTACTTTACTCTATTTGTAATTATATAGATTTAGGTAGCTATGCAAATTAAAAGAGAGAGTCTGGGACTAACACGAAATCGAACCAATCAATAACTGCAACTGTTAGTATTTTAGAAACGTCATTTGGCATCGAGTTTAAATCAGCAAAAAAGTCGCACCCAACCACCAAGTTTCCTGTTTAGGATAGGTATTCACTTAAACCAAATACGTAAAATGAATTGTATAAAACTTTAATCGTAATTGACCAAAAATATGTTAAAACTGTTTTACATTAATATTAAAATTGTCTTTATACTTAAGAAATAACATTGTATATTTTTCTAAATATAATTTGGAAAGTACGACTAGAGTTTTAATATCTTTTAAAGGTTACGGTAATGGGAAGTAAATACTTTACTGAAACTAAAAATTTTGTGATTTGAAAGATACTGCCTATACATTCTTTCTACAACAGCTAGTTGTTTTCCCTTTTACATGAATCTTACAATTTTACATTATTTTACATGATTCTCAAATAATGTTATGTATTTTTGTAGCATACTTTTCTGCTTGGTCACGGTATAAACTTTATTGCTCATAGCAGTGCTGCCCCTTTATCGATTTTTTGGATACATTGGTCGGTAATAACATCTTTTAAACTTTGAGCGAAATTTAAACTGTTGCTCAAAACACTTATCACTTTGAATCAGCAGTAATATAAAGAAATCAAATTTTTAGGTTGCTGTTTGTATCTATCAGCAAACATTTGTTCCTACTCGTGAATGGTTTTTGGTTCAGTTTTGGTAATAAAATATATGATTGTAACCATTTCTCAAAGTAAGGAATTAGTGAAAAAAATCCGCTAAAAACCAGAGCATCTTTGCCATGAGGACATTACAACCATAAACCACTACGACTAATAAGTTCAATTACTATTTTTGCCCAAAAGTCTTTTCCTTTTTTCACTCAAGACAATTTGGAATATAACTTAGAACTTAACCGACCCATCAAATCAGTAACCTCAATAGCACAAGTCAAAAATTAATTATAAGCTGATATAACAAAGCTGTCTTGCAGCATCTGCCAATGGATCAGATTAGCACATCAGAGATTACTCAACCTACTTGTCTTGGTAATGAGGCAATTTCTATAAGATAGTTATTCAACGAGCGTAATTCCATCTTAAAATACTTTTTAAACGGCCCCAATGGCTTTTAAATCCAGTTCAGCACCTGGGTGCCAGACTTTCCACTTGGGATTGACAAAGTCCGATTTAAAATGGGTCATAACATGCAAGGAGCCAGGCCGTTTACGGTAAATAGTATTCCACGAGCTCATCTATCTGCGAAAAATTTCAGCTTAATCCCCCGAATCGAACTAGAACAGATCGCCTGGCCCAGTTTTGCGTGGCACAAAGGAGTTGAGATGCGTCGGCCGCTGGAAAACTTCATCTTTTGTGGGTTGCTATAGAACCTGACACTTGTTCTGAAAGATTGACCCATTTTGCCGAATGGCCAGAGCCAACGAACCTGTTTCCATTCGGATGATGCGATGAAGCTACCCAGGCAGCCTGGCTGGATGGCATGAATATGCGCGGCCAAAGTTATCGACGGCCTGGCCAAAACATGAATTAATTTAACACGGGTGCCTTGAAGTTGCAGTCTCGACCGCAACGCCATCGTCTGTCTAACGGTGCACTCGAATATTGGCCAGAGATTTGCCTTGCGAATGGGCACGCGGCAATTTGGGGCACTGTCCACGCAGGTTTTTCCACTTTTTGGCAGCAGAAACTGGGCCTCAAGATTGAGTCAAGGTGGACGGGCGAAGCAAATCCGACCTGACCTGCTCCAAAAAAGCGAGGACTCCGTTTTGATTGGGGGATATGTTGCATGAGAGTGGGATATAGATGACATGGAGGTGAAAAACTGAAAACTACAAAACGACGTGCTCATAAAGTTAATGTGAGTAATGGCATTCTTATAACAGTTTACTTAAGATTAGGGTTACTTAAAAATTAACAACAAATCTTTGTGCGGTCTTATCACTTTAAAATTAAAAGATTATTGACTTGTAGAGATTAGGAAAAATATGCTAGAATCCTACTTTTCAAAAAGTGTCGATGATGGGATAAAAATGTATTTAAAAATGTATCTAATTGTATTAATATTTTTCTTAACTGTTATAAGATGTTAATAAAACGTATTACAATTTCTAATTACGGCTTGCTGTTTAGAGAAATCGTTAATGTAAACATCCTTCTAAAAGCGCCAGCTTCTTTGCAAAAGGGAAGAGTTATTTAGTTAGCAAACTTCATGTGACTACTGTTGACTTAAGCGTGGCAAATTGGCATCATTAGTGTCGTACTTAGGATCACCAGACGCCGCAGGTTCCGACTGGTGGCCGAACTTTTGGATAATCCACTTCAGCTGCCGTCACTCGTCGGCTGTCAGCACTTTGGTTTGGCCAACACTGCACGCATGCGCTCAAGCCAAAACAAAACTGGCCACTGCACCGGCATCTTCTCTATTCCCCATCTCTTTTTCTGTCGCCGCGGCTATCTCTTTCTTGGTCTCTGCATCTCGAGTTTGGCTTTGGGAGCCATCAAATTGGCCTGCCGCAGTTAGTCTCGTTATTGACTTCGCGCACTCCGGTCGCTGCCTCGGCTGCTGAGTTTTCCATACCATTTTCTCGGCTGGAAAATGCAAATTACGAACGAACGAAAGTGTTGTCGCCTACTGAAGAATAGGAACGTGACCGAGTCTTTGGGAAAATAAGCAGAATTTGTACTTTGATTGCGGGGCTTGCGAAGAAAGTTTTTGCCCATTTTATTGTTTGGATAAATCGAGACCAACATTTAGCAATTTAAGATCTGTCAAGTGTAAAGTGAATTTTTAAATTAAATAATGTGTCACGGAAAAGTCAAAGAAGGTAAGGGGTGGTTATACCATTGAGTGTGGATAATATATACACTGCTCATACGACATGTGATCAAAGCATTTGATTTAATTGGCTATGCATTTTTTAGTTGTTGTTTCATAATAGCAAATAGTGCATTTAAGATGATATTTAGGTCAATTTGGTGTTGCAATTATTTCTCTTCCTTCTAATTAAATCTCTGACTTGATCCTAATTACGCGAAGAACAAACTAAGGCCATGACATTCACTCAGCCAAGAATGGCAAATAAAAACTGGACATCGGTCGTCAGGTGTGTCCGTTGACAACCATATAAGCCTTGTTAGCAAAGCGGCATACGTTTATTCGATTAGCGGGATTTATGGCCAATGCAGCTGCTTTGTTAGTAGCTTCTGAGGCTTTCAATGGCGACGACACTCGAATCAAGATCGACAAGCCATTTTTCCTGCTAAACTCGTTCAGGTTTCCTACTAACCACCGGGCTTTGTCCGCTGGCCGCAATTGTTGTCCGCGCGCTTCTTTCTAGGAGGGATCTCGGCTTTTCTAGCAATTATTTTCAGATTTTCTCCTCGACGATGGGGCTGCGTGACAGGTCCGCGGTTCAGAAACTGGAGCATCGATGCGCAGTTTATTTCAGCAGCGATGCAACTTGTTTCCACTTCTGAAGGTGGGTCACAGCCATAACTCCTCGACTGGATCTCCGAGTCCGACAGACACGTCTGTTCTTCGATGGTTGCGGCTATAATCGTGCGTTGAGCCATTTCCAATCACCAGTTTACCGCTATCGAACAATCTCTTTATCGGGACGCTAGAATGTGCTAATGAACCATTCTAATGCACTACAAGCATCGATTTAATTGTCGGTATTATAACAGTGGTTCATCACTTATGGTTAGATTGTCTCAGGTGGTAAAAATATCTTAGAATACTAATTAGAATTCTCTCTAGGAAGATGGCTAAAAATATCTATAAAAGAATATTCTTATTGGGCTAAGTTAGATTTCGTAAAAATCAACCAAATTTTAATATCACCTCGTTAAACCAATAAGTTTATTTTGAAAAAAATTCGTATAGCAATCTACGTACTCTGTTTAACATTTCAATTCTTCTTTCATATTGATTGATATGACTTAATTGGCCAAAACTGTGCTCGAAAGAAGTTAAGATAATCACCAAGTGATTATATTATTTTTACAATCGAAGTGGCTCCGAAAAACGTTAGTCTGTAATAAAAATTTCAAAATGTTTTTTTTCTTCAGTGTTTGCATATTAGCAATTATTACCCCGGTGGAGCGTCCAGATAGCCATTCCAACCAAAAATAGAAACAATTACATTAATACACAGTCAGAAGATGGTAAACCTTAACTTAGCCAGCGGCCGTAATGGTCAGTGGCATCGCACCTCGTAATTATGAATCGCAATAAAGAAAATATATTTCCCCGTACCTACCAAGAAGTGCAAACTTTCCCCGCGAACGCGTTAAATGACAAGAAAACAATCATCTGGCCGGGCAAGAATTACGATCTTATCTAGAGGAGGAACGGCACTAGACCACAAAGAGCCAACAGTTAGCCAACAATCAGATGGTGTCAATGCGGGTACTTAAAGTCCATCTTGGCTCCCGTTTGATGGGTTAACAAGACCAGAGGCGGAAAGCTGACCCACAAAGCACGCGCCATTTGAACCCAGCAAACTGAAATAAATGAAAGCCATTTAGCACCCATTTCAGCAAAGAAGAACAGTGTTGAATTCACCAATTAAAAACCAACGCATTTCGGTCAGTCTAATAAAACATTTTGAGCTGCGAAGAATTTCCATAAGAATTTTCGTTACTAGATACAGCTAAAGGTCCAATGCGAGTGGGGCTTTAAGCCATGGACTGTGGCCATGTGGTATGCAAATGCAGATGCTTATGGCAATTTATGGCGCAGAGTTCATGAGCAGCGCCTCACGTCACGCTCTTTTGGGCAATTTCTTTGTTGGATTTCATTATATACGCCGTAATGCGCCTCACCTTCTCCTTATGGTGGGGGCATTGTTCGGTAAAGTGTCCATAACGCCAAAACGCTTGTCCAAAAGATATTCATGACTAGCCTCAATATAGCAGGAGTTTATGATACATGTAAGAAAAACTTTTTGCATAATCGAACTTGACACTCCTTAGGAAGTAGACATCCTTACCACTAATATTTATATATATCTTTTCTGTAGTACGTATTATCCGTGTATAAGTTTTATCTTCACCTGATTTTCCCCTTCAAGAGGTCCACTGAAGAAAGCTAAAGTAACCAAGCCAAGTGATAATATCAACAAGAAAATCCACTGATGATGGCAAACTTTATGCCAATTATATAAAACGAATAAACACCACAAGTGTTTAACATCTTAATGAGTAGTTAAGTATTTGAAGTCCACACCTCTGCGGGTCAGTGGTCGTGATCTTGGCCAAGTCACGTAGCCAGACCGTAAAGCAAAGTGTCCAAGTGCTTCTGCAAATTTCTACAAAGGGGATAAAAAGCGCGAAATTAATTTCTTTTTAACCACCCGCTGGTATCAAAATCAAACCACTCCGGCTCGTGAAAAGTGAATCGCTATTGTTGGACGGTTGAGTTAGAGTGGGTCGAGGGGGCTGGAGAAAGAGGCGAGAAATGGCGTAATGAGTAGCACAATGTGACAATTGACGTGTATTTTTCAAGACTCATTTCGGATTCGAGTTCGTGACGCAACTCCCAGTCGGCTAATGAATGAATGTAGCCTCATGAAGCTCGTTGGGTAGTAGGGCATCGAAATGAAAAAGGGGGAAAACATCTCACTGGGAATTGCGATTCTACAAAGAAAGTCTCGCAGAGAGATTATGTCTGGGCTGAGCTAGGGAAAGTCATGAAACTTTAATTGCGCAATGTTTTTGTGTAAATGATTTGAATAATTTGCAGAACCTGTCCACTCTGCTTACACTGGGGAAAATGTTCTCAGCTGAGTTAGCACTTTGATTTCATTGGTCTGACTTAGTCTTTTTTGTAACTACATTAATGTCTTACTTAGGCGGTCGCATTTTCTTTCACTGCTTGCGCATGTCAGATACGCAATGCTGGGCACAAGACGAGCGCGAAGGAATCAAGCGTATCTCTCGGAGCACCCAGCTCCTAACTCCCAGCACCGACTCAACCCTCCAGCTGTATCTTCTCTATCTGTATCTTCAAGCTTGCCTGCGTTCGCCGGGCTGGCGCTGAGCAAAAAATATACGACTAATTTCTGAAATAGCCGCCAATGCACATACAAGAAACTCAAGAAACCTTTAAAACACACACCGACCGAATCACACAAAACTCCAGCTAATACATAGCCTGGTAAATTGAATAGAGAAAGTGATGATCACGGTAGTATGATGTTATTCGTTAAATAAATCACATCACCCATCAACACCACCCCGTCGAATGCGTGCAGTTAACGGTTTGGCTCCCAAATGAATGAAAATTCTCTTAAAAGTAAAAGTTGGCCATGCACAAAGGAAAATTCTACCCATCTTCAAAGTGAACATAAACCGTTGAAAACAAAAATGAAAACGGAAAGGTTCAGGTTCTTCGCATTGAAAACGAATTTCATGTTCTTCGCTATCAGCTGACAGGTATCTTAGTTAACCGTTTTTCAGTTTGACAACCATAAAAAACGAAACCAGACATACTCATCGAGGCAGGTCGCAGGGTCTTCGGGTCTCCAGGGTCTGTATGGTCTGGAAATCTCATAAAAGTAAGAGCTTTCTGGACAGGCTCTTTACAACAAAAGAGCAATTAGTTAGTTTTGCATTTCTTATTGTCTCACGTGGACCACATTTAATTACTTGTTACTGTTAACTCATGAATAAACCGAAAAGGTTGTCAACACTCGAGAAACAAACGCCGCCGATCAAAAGGCCATCAAAATTAAAATCTAAAATGGAAAATGGAAAGTTTGATGTAAACAGACAGATAGATTTTTACGGCGGCTGGCTCACAAGTTTTTATTAGTGAAATGGAAACGCAGATTTTAATTGAAACATCTTGAATTACGAGCAATGGTAATGTGCTGATTTCATTATGGAAAAGTCGAGGCATAGATCATAAAATATATAATGCATATACCCCTCCCCATTCATGACACAATCTATAAAAACAACCTAGTATGTCGATTTTTTGTTTATTCTAATTTGCAATTTAAAATGCAAATTTAAGATCAACCATAAAACAGCTTTGCATGCATATGAATTATTACGCTTATTACCCTAAAGTATTCTTCTGTTTAGAGTTTTTCTCGTTCTCAACCAAGCTATTCTCAATTTCCAACTGCGCCCAAGCAATTTCTGGCGAGGCGCAAAGTGAAAAATTAAATGCATTTTACGATGGAGCGAAAGAGGCCGCGGGCAGCTCCAATTATCGTAAGACTTGACCACGGTCATTGATTTCGAAAATGCCTTCACTGCTGCAGCCCGGTGGTTTCCCCTTCCCTCTGCTTTCCAGCTCTCTTCGAGAGATCCCCTAATCCGTCACAGCTTCTGCGCTTGCGCAAATGGCAAAACCCGGGCCACCGGCAGTTTTTTTTTTTGGAGACCCACTCGATGTCTGGCGACACTGGCTTTAATTGCAACTTGCCCGCAGGAGCTCCGATTTGTGGGAGAGTGACATTGGGCTAAAGCCTCAATGGTGCATTGCCCAAATCACTTTGCGACATTTACATGGCCGTATGCAAATGAAAACCAACCACACACATAATGCTCCGATATTGGGCAAGTGATTGCGGCTGTCGAAAGGCGAAGCATTCGTCTTCGTCGACATTTGGCCAAAAGAAAAACAGTTCGGATGGCCAAACTATATATTCCATATTCCGCGATACAAAGTCAGTTATGGCCGGGCATTCTCATTGTGCTTCCACTGCCCACTTACGCCAGAGATATGATATTGTTGTGATGGTTCGCTCTTTCTTTTTTTTATATTTTTTCTCTGGCTCCAACTCTGCTTTTCTTCCAGCCAACTTCTTCGACGTTTTGAGCCCGTTTTAGTCGCCGTGTGGCATTCAACGAACTCGGACGGATCGCCCGGTTTCGGTGCCGAGTTACAGCACTTGGATATATTTGGATTAGCAAAAGGCCAGACCTGTATTTGACCGGATTGGGTCGTGTTTTCAGTGACGTTGCGGTGCAGTGGAGTTGAAGTTCAATAAGGCACAAGTAAATGGCATTTTGAAATTGGCTCATTTGAGTCTGTGTGTGATTGTGCTTCAGTGGCATTTGCTAATTACCGCGAATATCTCTGCAGTGAAAGTATCTCATAGATGCAGCTCGAATCCCACTATGTTGTGCGTTCGCGAATAGCCAACATTTTTCCGATAAAACAATTGCATTTCATTGGGCAATTTATCAGCCGAAATGGTGCAAAAATAACAACAAAAAAACCAAACTATAAACTGGAAAACCGAAAAGCGATCCATATATTATTTATAAACGATTTTGCAATACCTTTTCCTACTCGTGAATGGCCAGCGGTTACGGGGCCTCTGCCTTAATCTAATAATGCTTAAATCTGTCGGTTTTTGGTTTTGCTTGCAGCTAATTAATGAGCCGGCTCCAGTGCGATGATTGAATGATGGCCCCAGTGGAGCACGCCATGCAACACCCTATCCGAGCATCTGAAACCCTATGCAAAAGGTGTGAGGCCGAGCCTCGTGTGATTCGCTAACATGCTGGAAATTAACTTACATTGCGCCTAAACGGATTGCATTCACCGCTAATTGGCCACAAATTGCGCGCTCCTCCGCCGCCAAAAAAACAAAAAAATAGTAAAAACTAACATTAATAAACATAGAGTGAATCGGTGAATTGCAAACAGCGTTTTGCATCCGCAGCTGCGGCATTCCGTGAGTGTTTAGCACGTCCAGCCCCCCAGAAGGAGGAGGATGGTCACCTGCAAGGTGGACTCCCAAACCGCGGTAGCTGTTCCCAAAATGAATGCTCCCCGGACCCGCGGAAAGCCCGCAGGCAGCAACAGCAATAGCAACTCTTCTGGCTTTCGGCTCCTGGACGGCGACCAGCTCGAAAATAATTCGAGTGTCAGCCGAAACTCGATCTACAAACTTAAGATCGATCTGATGTTTGACGATTCCAGGTGAGTTTTTTGTTTTAGTATATGAGTGAAACTTTGTAATTGGGAGCAAGTTGCCTGGGGAGGGTGTTTTTTTTGGCCATTAGCCTCGCTCTCCATCTCTGGGCAAAACAAATCAATTAGCCTTCTGCGATGCCAACACTCTCATTTCCACCGACCACCCAACACTTTCGTTCTCGAAACCACAGCAACTTAAACTCTATCTCACAACTTCAGATACAGAAACGAGTTGAGAGAAATATTCCGTTTACCGTTTTGCATTTCCATAACCAACGAAAAATACTGTTAGTTCCAAAATTAAAAACTATATTGTCCAAATGGTGGCGACGAAGGGGGAATCTGAAGAGGGAGCAGCCAAAGATAGAGCGACACTTGCTCTTTGAATAAATATTCAACGCTGACACACATTCGCCGACCGACGAACTACTTAATTGATTGAGAAAGAAAACCAAGACGTCCCCTCTCCAATCCCCCATAAATACCCAACGATCCACTCATCTTCATTCCCATTCAAAACTCTCGACGGCCATAGAAGACGTTCTATGGAAATAAGTATTTCCGATTTTATGTCAACTAGCGGTAAACGGAATGGCTTGAATTGGGAACACCTTTAGCTGCAGTCGGCCATTGGCCGCCAAAACGTATCTCTCCCAAGACAGGCTCTCCATTATTTCCCTCTCTTGCCACCAATGAATCTCCAGGTTCTGACCCGGTCAGCAGGATGTGGCCAATTCGGCTTCCAGCCAACAAGTTCACAAGTAGATGACACTCGAGTCGAATATGCTAATCTCAAGTTGCTTTTGCGTTAATCAGTCAAACTTTCACAAAAAATGGAACCGTTTGTCGTTTTAAGCACTAAAAGTGTTGGCTGGAGAGCGGCTAATAAAATAAAAAGTGGAATCCATCAACTTTTAAATCTATTCGATGATCTAGATGGTATTCTAAATGATTGTATGGTTCAGCTAATTAAATTAGATATTAAATATCCAGATTATAAAACAACTTTCTGTTGGTTTTGGGTATTAAAACTGTAACCAAGTAATTTTATTCGAAATTTAAGAATTGATTAAACGTAAAGTTTATGTCTTATGAAATTCCTTAGCTATTATCAAAGTATTCAGTTTGTAAGATAACTTCATTGGGAGTGGACCTGCGTTCTATTTCCCATTCTTAACATTTGTATAAACTGCTAGCCCCTTTTTCAAGTACATATTGTTTTAAATCTAAATCAGAATCACATTTATAATTGTAAGTTTCTATGCTTATGGAATTTTATCTCCCATTTACTTTTTACTCAAATCATATAAAATTTATACTTCAAATGCTCTTCCAGATCCATGCGAAGCAGCCGCCTCGACGATCCCCGGGGATCGCATCGCACCCGCTCCATCATCATGTATGGGCGCAGTGAGTTGGCCAGCAACTCGGGCGACACGCCCCGCTCCCTCAGCAGCTTCCTGCAGGACAACGGGCAGTCGTCCAAGGTACTCGCCGAGGCGGCCAAGAAAGACGTGCAGCGGATCAGCAACAATGTGCAGGCCCAGATCGAGCAGCTGTTTACGGATGTGGCCAAGGACGCGACCAGCAGCTTCGATGTCACCTACCTGGGATCGCTGCCGCTGAAGGACAAAGTGACCAGTCTTCAGGGTCTGCAGGAGCCACTGCGGCAGCTGTACCTCAGTGAGGTGACCAAGAAGGTAGGAATTGCCATCGTGAAGGAGGGTGCCTACTAATAAATCTTCCTCTGCAAATCCAGCAAAAGCTTAACACCGGATCGCTGGATATCTGCGCCACCGGACTGAGAGTGAAAATCAGCGCCATGGCGGTCTCGAATGGAGCTGGCGCTCCAGAGGAAAGTGAGGCCCAAATTACACCCTTCCACAACATTGCCGTGTGGTCGGCGGTGAAGTTCATCATATCCGATGACGACGGTGGTGCGGCCTTTCTGCCCTTGATCACCGATCCAGAGAACATTGACAAGACTGCCCTGTTCCAACCTTTAAGGTGAGTTTTCTATCAAAACAAAAAATGAATTATGACTAAAGTTTAAAAATAACTGTTATAATATCCTTTTAAAATTGAAAATAACTTTAGATATACCTTTATTTAAAATATTTTTAAAAAATTTTACAGCTCTAGCGAGCAGCTTGCTGTGGAGAACAGCATCCATGTGCACGCTCCCATCTTTGCGGTGGTAATGCGCTCGGCCAGTTCACCCAAGGGTCTCGAGTGCCATGGATTTATCTGCAAGAGCACCGAGGATGCCATCGTAATTGCAGCCACTCTTTATCAGAGTCTGATGGCCCATGTGAGCACCAGTTCACGACGGAACACCCAGAGGAGGGCTCCTCGGCAGCAGAACGGAGTCAGCTGTGTCAGCATCGCCAGCAGCTCGGCGCTGGCCAGCTCGAATTATCTGTCCCGCTCCCAGATCATACCCAGTGCCTGTGGGAGGCGCAGCTCCTTTCGGGGGAAGTACCAATGGGGTGGCGCTCCATCACGCTCCGGACGAAAGAAGCGAGTGTCCAACAGCTCATTGAGCTCTCATAGTAATGTCATAAACGAAACTGCCGAGCTGGAAACATCGACGGAGGAGCGCAGGCGTAAGTCGCACAAATCAAAGCGGGCTCCCCCAGTTCCTACGACAGTACCATGTGCTGGAGGTCACAGAAATGGAGGAGTTTCATGCCGGAGTTCCAACATAGTGTGTGGCAATGGTCACGTCACACGGCTGCATCAGAACGGCCATCCCGGCAAGAAGCAGTCAGTGGGATCGGAGCTGTCAGCCAGTGTCGATGTAGCCCCCGCCAATGGAGACATCCTCACTCGGGTTGCCATTCCCCAGATCTGGTAGCTTCCTGAACACCGGAGGGCTGACGCGCTACAAATCGCGAGCGGCGAGACGCCATTCCGGCAAGCTGAGCGGTGGAGGCGGCGGCGGAGGAGGGTGAGTATTGCCACCGGTCTGGCGTCAGATGTATGTCGTTGGTCTAACCCACTGCATCTGGCCTTGGGCACGGGCGGCAGTCTTTTTGCAATTTGGGGGAGAAGGTTTGGTCTGGTTGATTGGCATCGCTTGAATTGTGCTTCTAGTTCCCCACTTGGTTTCAGCGAACTGTTTAACGAATTTCGCCTGCACGAGAACCTTCACTCGTTGGACGACATCCTGTACGCCATTATCGACGCTGATGGAATGTCCTTCAACGATCTGAAGCCCATTTACAAGGAGTTCTTGCTCAAGCTTGCTGTCACTCTCACCCAAGACGAGCTCTTCCAGCGCTCCAAGAACATCATGAGGCGCCAGAAGAAAAAGAAACAGAAGCGCAAGGCTAGTGTTAATGGATCGCAGGTGGGTCATCTGGGTAACGAAATCCTTACACCCAAAGTAATATTATATTCCTTATAAAGAAGAAGGCTAGGACCAGCTTTTTTGGCACAAAGAGTCTGAAGAAGGTCTTCCAACTAAGCCAGTTTCGTTCATGCCGCGGCAAATTGACCAAGCCGGCGGTGAAGGATGACACCTTGGACAGCAAGAGAAAGCCGACGATCAGTGCACCCATCATTATCGGACAGCCCATAATACACCACAGCGACGCCCAGCAGCAGCACCAACGGAACAGAGCGGCCACCAGTGGTTCCGATGTATCGGTGGTACGGAACGAGCATACCCAAGGGCTCAATCGAAACAGCAGCAGTGGGTATGTTACAGAAGTGTATTTTTAACGGACTTTAAGTATTATTTTCTTTTAAAAATTAAGTTGTTAAGACTTTCCTTGATATTTAATTATAACTTATAGGGAAAAATATTAATATACCGGCAATCATCGATAAAAAAAGTCATTATCAGAAATAAACATTATAGTTATGCAGACCTTTAGTTAATCTGTAACACTCTAATAAACTAATTTTAATTATAGAGCCATCACAACTAAATTTCGAGTTTATGGAGCTTTACCATTGATGATTTTTTTGATTAATTAGATAATAATAACAGTATTTTCCCTTACCCTTTACATACCTTTTATCTAATTCTCTTACTTAATACTCTTACCCAATATCCCCGCAGATACGTCTCTTGTTCGGAATGCAGCTACGATTCTGAATCCTGCGCTTGCGCCTCCGCAGATCGTTGCTACTGCAGTCTTCGCACGGAGCACCTGAACCACAAGCTGCGCCAGAAGAACGAGCGCAACATGGCCATGGCCACGCCCACCCGGAAGCCTACCAACAATGGTGGCCTGCCACAGAATGTGGTAGGAACCACAGGAACTAACCGACACTCGCTGATCTCTTGTCGCTCCGACGACAAGTGCTACTGCTCCATGGTGGAGGAGGAGCCGGCCAGCTCAATGGAGCGGGATTCAGCTAACAACTCGCACACGGAGACCACCACTTCCTGTGACTCTGATAGCTGTGTGAGTGCCAGCAAGTGCTACTGCAAGCGAACTCATCGCCGACAACGATCCTCGGCAGCGGCAGCCATCAGCGAGGACTCGCTGTCGCAACAACAAAGAAAATCTCGTCCAGGAAACGCTGGAGCGGGACGCAAGGGAAAGGCATCGGATAAGCTGGGTCTGGACTACGAGCTTTTTAGCATTAGCGGAAGCGGACAGCCGGTTCAGCCGCATGAGGCGTTGAGCGTCAAGAAGAGCGTAGAGGCGGCGGCAGTGTTTGCTGACATGAAACTCAGCCAGACGACGGATATAAAGAGTTTATGCCCTCCAAAGGGCCCAGGATCACGAGTAGGCAACGGAAGCTGCCGTTCGCATGCATCCTCCAGAAGGTCCTCTTACCGCACCCGCGAGTCCTTCAGTACTGATAGGTTGGGTGGAGGTCTACCACTTCCAATGCCTTTCAGCAAAGGCATGGGAATGGGTGGTGGAGGTAGTGCCGACAATTTGTTAGCCAATCTCAAGGCCATGGAGGCCAAGGCCGCCTCTATTCGAAGCAGCGCCAGTAGAAGCCGCATGGGCAGTTATCAATCGATGCGGGCGGTTAGCGCCTCCCTGGAGGACTCGCTGGGGTACTTGCCATAGACCAGGATGATTGATCCGACACTCAGAGCCGGCTAAGTTACGATGTATATAGCTCATAAGAATATACTTAAAGGATATATTTATACACGCATAAACTTATAATCACTCGTACGGCTTATGTTTCCCAAGACAATTATCACAGCCACTATATAGTTCGATAAATTATCTTGTGAAACGTAATCATGTGTAGCTCTAAGTATCTCCTATAGAACATTCAGTGTGACTTTATTTTTAAGATCTTATCCGTAGAAATCGAGGTGCAATATGAAGACCAACCATTTGTGGAATCACGAGTCCCAATTATTTAAATCTGTGCAATATTTATAACTACTATAAAAAATAAAAACTATTTTTTAAATTTACTCAGAAAAATGTGTCTGGAAATCTATTTTGCTTATGTGACGCATGACTTTGCACATTTGATCAATACACAATATGTGTAAATGTATTTCACAACAAATAAACAGTGATTTGGGAAATTCAGGGAAAATATAAAACTCATTGTGCTCATTCGATGTACAGTGAATACTGGTATCAACAGACCTTAAGGCTTGAAGCGCGTTAAAACGTGGCTAAGCAAATTTAAAAAAAAAAGCTAACCTTCGGATCAGGAAGTATCTGGAGTAGTTATCCTTTTAGCCAATTTTTATTTAATTTAAAATAAGCCTAAGAAAGCGGACATGTGATCCTTGTGCATATAAATATTATATCCCACGTTCCACTGTAACTGACAGGCTTAACCATTTTGCTCCGTCATTCTGTTTTGACCACGGGATGCGATCGCTGCCTCCTAATCAAAACCGGAGGGTCAGGGTCAGGGGCAAGACACAAAAGCGAAAGCCCGCTGACGAGAACACGTTTCGCCGGGAACAGATGTTGAAGCTCTCGCCGTCATCCCGCCTATGGGTCACACGTCAAGTGGGCGGGACTGATAAGATTACGAATTGCTATGTGGTCTACGACGGCTCTTCTATGGGAGCGCCAGCTGTTAGCTTCTGCATCCCCGAAAAGCTAACGTGGAACGTTATGGTAGAACAGAAAATCATTAAGCTGCGATCTGTCGACCAGAGCTGACCACCAAAGATGACCACCTCCGCCGATAGTGTATTTGTTGCCCGATCCGATGGTATCTCCGCCGAAGGAGTCCGTGATCAGTATGCCGATGGCAAGGCTGCCAAGGTGTGGGAGATCTTCATCGGTGACAAGAACTCGCGCACGGACAACTACAAGAACTTCTTAATCGACATGCTGCGAAACAAGGGTTGCAAGCGTGTCCTTGACGTGGCCTGTGGAACGGGGTAAGTAAACTATAAGTCATCTTTCGGTTTCTAGGAAAAAAAATCATTCTGTTTTAAGGTTCAATCAGCACAATTATAGAATCATTATTATAATTTAATTAAATAAATGACCCGAAATATATTTCCTTTGTGTTTTAATCTGAAATATTTTTTTCAGTGTGGACTCCCTTATGCTTGTGGAGGAAGGCTTCGAGGTTGTATCCGTGGATGCCTCTGATAAGATGTTGAAGTATGCACTTAAGGAGCGCTGGGCCAGACGAAAGGAAGCCGCCTTCGATAATTGGGGTGAGTTAAATGATCTTTAAATATCCTTAACTTAATGCTAATTATCCCGTAATCCCTTACAGTCATTGAGGAGGCCAACTGGTTAACTCTGTACGACGATATCCAGGAACACATTCAGGATGGTTTTGATGCTGTAATTTGTCTGGGAAACTCCTTTGCTCACTTAATGGATGGCTTCGGCGATCAACGCGAGCACAAGCAGGCCATCGGCAATTTCGAAAAGTGCCTCAAGCCAGGTGGAGTCCTACTGATCGATCATCGCAACTATGACAACATCCTCGAAACAGGATCCACGCCAGCCAAGAGTATTTACTATAATGTAAGTATACTACCATAGAATCCCCAAGAAAATCTCATCCCTATCATTCTCGTCCTTCATTGTATTCATCAAATATTCTCAATCTGTAAAATCTAATCATCAAATTTTGCAATTCTTAACTCTTGAAAAAAATTTAATATGTGTCAAATGTGTAGCAATTCTGCCACATCATCTTGTCAATAAAAATAGCCAAATATTGTCGCATCATCGTCTTATTGATAAGAACGGATGATCTTGTTTGTGACCCCAGATCGGACGTATGTATCACCCACTCGACTCATTCACATCATCATACACAGTTTTCGAATCAATTAATCCTATGATGACTTGCTATTAATTGCAGACGAGTCACACGGCGGACATCAAGACGTCCGTGCTCTTTTACTGCGGCAAGCCATCTCTGGTATCCATGGACTACCTAATCGCTGGAAACAAACTGACCAGTGAGTTCCGTCTATCCTACTATCCGCATGAGTTAAAACGCTTCCGTGAGATCCTCGGCGAGATCTTCTCGCAGAAGGCCGAGCACAAGTTGTACGGGGACTTCAAGGAGATGAGCCAAGTGAAGAATCCCGCCTTCTACATCCACCTGATCGAAAAGCCGCAGGTTTAGGTTTAAGCCATTAGTTTGTATTCACATTAAGCCACACGACATATCCATATAAATATAAAGTTCCTCCTATTCACACAATCCCAAGTCTTTTGAGTCGTCTCCTAAGCCAGTATGCAGAACCGACCAACGATCGAACCAAAGCACAGGGTCACCATGGCTACCTCGATCACAAACGGAAATTTTGACTTCACGTAGTTGAACATCCCTGTGTAGATGCTGGAGAGGGTGGCCAGTAGAATCAAAGTCATCTCTCGTCCGCCAGACTTCGCTTGAGACTGCTACTGAAACGCAAAAGCAAACCAGACCCTAGAGGCGTGGGGCAAATGCCATTAGCCTTGCAAATGTTTTTCCATTGCGTTTTCATGTGGTTCCGTTTTAAAGAGAGAGAATGAGTAAACGATCGAAGTGCGATATTTAAAAAACCAATTACAGTAAAAGTTCTATTTGGGAAAGGCGATAACCTCTTCCCGAATTTGTTTGTCTCTGCATTTAAAATACTCTACAAAATGATCACTATTCTTTACTTCTTTGGTGATAACTAGTTAATGGACAAGTTGATTAAAAAAAAGCGTTTTCTTTAATATATTTTGATCTGCAATTGTTTTCGACTGACTCGGTTTGAGCTGTTGTCTGGCAGACACCTCTGACGTATGCTTATTAACATGCTATCGAACGCAAAAAGAACACAGCTACAAATATACTCATAGGACTTAATCGACATGTTTATTACTAAAACGTTTTAGGGGTTTGCTATCAACAAAAACGTGGCGAAATCATAACAGAGTGCTTCCAAATCATAATTTAAACCCCAACGATTTTGTTTATGCGCTTGACGTCGGTGATCTGGCGATCAATCTCACCGGCCAGTTGGGTGAGTATTTCTGTGATAGTGCGATGCTGTTTCTCCGGCAGTTCGTAAGCATTCTTTTTTAGGTCCTCCTGACTCTTGGCAATATGGTAGCGTTGCTTGTTCAGCGTTTTCTTGGCGTTCTCTAATCCAGCGGCCATGCTCTTTGTGATCTTGTTAAGACGATCCACCTCCTGAGAAATCTCGCGCTCCGCGACCACACTATTTGGTAGTGAGGCATTGGCCTTTTGCATTAAACCGTTGCACTTGCGCACCAGCAGCTCCTGATTGTAGCTAATTTCCTCAAAGCGCTCGGCAAGTTTGTGAGCCTTCTCGCTGATCAGCTCGCGCTCTTGCTCCAAATCCTCAATCTCTTGCAGCTGTTGATCCTTCTTTAGCTGCATTTGGTTAATGTGCCGTGCAAAGGCGGCTCGCACAAGTTCATGTCGTTTAAGATATTGTTCACGAAGCACCTCGATAGCCTGGTTCAGCAGTTCGTAGCTTTCCTGAGCAGAGGGCGAGGAAAGTTTATCTGCAAGGATCGGTTGGTTAACACTGCGCTGCAGAAGAGATTTGATAGTGTCGGCAAAAGATGGTCCACTCTCTTGCTGTGATACATCCGCGCTAGTCTGCCTATTTTCTTTGGGTGTCAGAAGTAGCTGAGCATCGATTACCAGCTTAAGACTGATTACCTGACCGCTTCCCAGAAGAATAACTACTCCAGCGGGAATTTGCAGCAGGGCTAATCCAAGAACTGCGTTCACAGACTCACTGGAGTTGAATTTAGTGCAAAGGATGTACTCCGCCCGGGAAGAAGCTGACAGCTCGAAGACTTCTTCAACGGATTCGCTATCCAGATAACGCTGTAGCTCTGAGATAAAGTTCACAGTAATCGCATGAAGGCCAGCGCTGTGGTAAGCAAAATAACGCATTTCATTGATCAGGTCACGCTTCAAATAAATTGGGCAGTTGTGGGTGGCTCCTCCTTCACCAGCCGCAGATGCAGTCAGTCCAAGCTCCAGTTTTACAGTTTCAAGAACATGTATAACATATTCGGAGGGTTCAATAAGCACAAAGTCGTCTACTTCATTAAATGAATGCTCAGCGGCCTCCGCCCCCATTAGCAGGGCATGGTGGAGCTTTCCGTTGGACTCTGCTATAACTATAGTAGGCGGTAGCGAAGGTATTATCATGATTGCACACGACTCCAGACCATAGTTGTCCCTCGCCTGTGGCGTTATGCTGATAGGGCCCTGCAACCGCGTCACCTCAGAGTCCAATCCTGTCAACAATATGTATATGTTTCCATTTTCGCGCATAACCACCACTGGCCACTCGATCCTCTCCTGCTTAGGCAGTGTTTTGGCCGCAATCAGCGTTTTGTTGCTCTTATCCATAGCAGTTTCGTTTTCAGCAACACTTGCTGGTTCTGTATCACGGGATTTCGCAGCAGGAGCGATATCAAAGTCTACGGCCACTTCGCCAAAATCGCAGAGAGAGCTATTCGTTCCACCCCGAACGACTGAGGGACCAACCTTCCACACGTGACGCAGTTTTGAGTGGTTGTACACTCGGATGGTGTTGTTGTTAAGCAGTACAAGTAGCGTAGAGTCTGATACGGAGTGGGGATGCCAGCGTACTTGCCTGACTTCAAGATGTGGATTGTTAAGGAACAGCTGAGTATCCAGTGCATAGGAGCGGCATGTGATGCTAGCCTTGCCGTCCTTGTAGTATCCATCGGGCCCCCAGCGGCGAGGCAGTTCCAGGATAGTAACACCATGTCGTCCGCTAAGCGCCACCAATGATCCCTCGTTGGAGGCCAGCACGCGGTCCACTTCGAGGCTCACGGTGCTTGAGGGAATCAGGGTTTGGTACTGGACAGTCACATTGGCCGACTGTGATGAGCGCCAGTTGCGCACCAGCAGGCAAGACTCCTTGGCCTCCCACGCAAAGAGCAGGTCATCCTTGCAGTCAAGCAGGTTCTGCGTCCTTTGCAGCAAGGGTAATCCATCACGGATCTTCGCAAACAACTGCGTTTTGTTTAATTTTAAAACATCCGTGAGCGACATTGCCGGTTTGTTTATTATTTTCTATGTGCCCGCCTTTTTTGACAATGTGATAATATGATCGCATTTCAAAAATCCGGAAAAAGTATTTTTTAGTATTTCTTTTTGGCTTTCAAAAAAACGTCAAAATGATATTTGAATTTTTAAAATTTGACAAAGAACAAATACATTTCCTAATTTAATATAAATAACATTTTCACTTTAAAAGTAAGCCTGTCACAAATAAATTTGTTAGCGTATTTTTGTACTTTTTTGTTTTTAACTCTTGTAGAAACATTTTTACTCAAATGTATAATAGAATTACTGAAACTGTTAAAAAGCTAAAAATAAAATTAATCAACAAAAAATTAAGTCAACAACTTTTAATACTCTATTTAACTACTCATTTAAAAACACCTAATCCTAAAAACATTCAAATTCTCTTCTGAAGCTCCAAAAGTGGCACAGCTTTTAACTTCATGGTAATGTCTTCAACAAAATACAGATCTTCAAACGGAAAGCTCGTTGTAAACCTATAATTCCTCAGTAATTTTGCTAGAGTAATTTTAGCCGATATTAAGGCATATCTCCAACCTAAAAATAGGAAAAATAATTATAAAAAATACAGGACATTGAAGATTAACCATTACCTATGCAATTTCGAATTCCTTTGGTGAAGGGTATATAGGCGTAAGGGTGCTTATCCTGGATATTGTGGGGTAAAAAATGGTCTGGATTAAAGGTTTCTGCATCTGGGCCCCAAATAGTTTTGCTCCTATGCATGTGGTAAATGTCTATAGCAATCTGAACGCCCTGGGGAACCACTATTCCATTGGAGAGCTTTACATCCTGAGTCGTTTGCCGAGATACAACTGGAACAGGGGGTATGACTCGCATTGATTCATTGAGAATAAGATCCAGATACACCATCTGCTGAGTGTCGGCATAGGTAACATCAAAGTCTCCGGCATTTGGGAACATATTTTGTATCTCCTCAAATGCCCGCTCCTGATAATCTGGAAACATGGCTAGTAACATCAGGGTATAGTAAACTGCATTTGCCGTGGTCTCAAAAGCTCCAAAAACAATTATATTCGACTCATCCTCAACATTTTTCAAGGTGAAAACTCCACGTCTTAGCAAATCCGTAGCGAGATTTAGAAATATGTTCTTATCGTTGGATTGAATGGTAGGTAATGTTCCCTTTTTATCCTCGGCCAACTTTTTTTCAATAATCTAAAAGGTTTCACTGTTTTATAAATGCAGTAGTGAAAGGGATATGGTATTTACGTTTCTGATAAACTGCCGAATTTCAGTCTTGGCCTGGTGGTATGGGGTTTCCTTTCCAGCCAACTGGCGAAAAAATCGGCTATTGAGCCACGGCGAAAAGCACATATCTGTCATGGTTTCCAAGATACTATTAATGGATATAAGCGGTCCAAGTCCAACTCAACACTCACCATTGATATCTTCCCAGCAAGGAGTTACTCTTGAAACTCTTCTCATTCTTCACGTCGCTGCCCATGGTAGTTTCTGATGAGAAAAAACATTTATGGATCACATTTTTTTAAGGAACTAGTCTCTGGTATCTTTTTTTGAATGAACATTTGGATTTGGATAGAAACACCAACTTAACAACTTTTTTTTATTAATAAAATAACTCACGGGTGGCTATTCCGAGGGTAAAACGCTGCAGCAATGGAATAAGATCCTTTTCGCCACTGTCCTCCAACGGTTTGAGTTGTTCCAGCAAAAGTGTCGTCTCTCGGTTGAATATGGGCAGGAAGCTAAGTAAAACCTTGTGTCCAAAGGCGGGATTTAGTAGCTTTCGATGGATGCTCCACTGGGGATCTATGCAAATCCACACTTTAGTTAATAACACACTCAAATCCAAACACACACACACACCCTTCAAGCTAAATAATCCAGTGCCTGCTCCATCGTCCACTGCTTTGTAAATTATACCCTTGTTGATACAGTGAGGCGATGTGAAGATATCCTGCACCACCTGTGGGTCACTGACAATCATAAACGGAATTGGTCCAAGCCACGAAAATATTGTTGGGACCGTGCTTGTCCAAAAAGCAACCGAAGGCATTGAGAATATCTGCACAGGAACACTTAAATTAATACCTCCGATCAAAAAAATAATCCAATATCTAGCACCTTCCCTGCGCATCAACCAGTGGGCCATGCCTAAAATGGGATATCCAAGTGGGCCTGGAATCTTAAGAGTGAGCAGATAAAATCTGCGCCGACTCCACAGAAAGTAGAACCAAAGCAGGAAGAGTAATCCACACCATAGAGTCCAGGTCAGCATAGTTAATCCTTATCCACTCTCTTTAGCCTCGAAATGTTTTTAATCCGTTTCCTAACAATTTTCGTCCGATCAGTTTGAAGTGCGCCAACAGTTTGATTAGCCAATTTTCAGTCAATCGACTTTTTATAAGCCGGACGTGTTGCCTGAATTGGGACTCGATCGATTTGTTGTCACGCGTAGTGCTCAACGATCGACCTAGCTAACTCTCAGCGAATGAAAACAGGAGAGATTCGGGGCTACGGGGCGAGACCCATTGAACCGCACATAGCGCGCCGTTTTTTATTGGGTCCGACATGGAAGGCGCGCATACAAATAGCTATAATTTTGACTAATGGCCAGTGATGACATGCCAAACACTTTAAGAATGCGAATTGGGCAACTACTACCCACTACGTCACTGATCGATTCCGATCTGGGTGGTGCTAATTATTGCGTTGTAGAACTGACCAAATCTCCTGAAACTGCCGGGATCTCGACATTGCAGGTGGTAAAAAAAAATAGTGACACAAATATTTTATTGCGGTACGGTTAATTAATGGTACAATAGCCCCTCAATTAAATTTCCATTGAATCCCATTAATAGATACAAAACGACAATCAAGTCGTGGGTTTTTAAAATCGATGATTCAACATTATTTTGAAGAATTTAGGGGTGATTCCCAAAGTTTCTATCTATCCTTTTTAGCCATTTACTATAAGTAAAAGTAATTTCTTATATTTTATATTATTTTTCCAAAATTAAAATATTACGTTTATTTGGTTTGCGAATTATTCCTTAGTCTAGGTAATTTATGCACGTACGATGAAGGATAGGAGAAGTGCACAGGCATCTTAACCGATCCGATGAATGGAAATATGTTTGGAAACATTTGCGGTGCTGCTATGGTTTATATAAAGAATGAACACCTCGATTTTGCGCTGGCTAAGCTGTGGGCTCCGACGACGAGATTACAGCTGAAAATGGCAGAACTTTTCAATTGGTTGCGAAAGTTTTGTGGAATTTTGAGTTAGTGCGACGACTCTCTACGTCTCTCTACGACGCCGATCCGTTGGTCACGGCGAGCTTCCCTGAAAGATGCACAGGATAATACAGTTGAATGTGATTTCTGATCGAAAGATTCGAGCCTGCCCATGCAATGACTCCGAAACACTCGGCGAGTTATATGCGACATAAGCAGGCATTTATTTACAGCAGGTCCCAGTCGATGAGGCTTACGATCTACAAAGCAATTGAAGGCAATAGGAATGGGTGTTTGGGAAGTTTTGGTGCAAGGAATGTAGGTGCAGGGTTAAAAACGTGGGAGTTGGTATGGTGTGGGTGGTCAAAAGTGCGTCTTAGTCATGCTATTCGATTACAAACTCTCGTTCTACACCAAAAGGGCAACCCAAGAAAGGGCTTACAGAAGCAAAGCAGAGAAGTTCTAGCAGCTAACAACTAGGCAGTGTAGGTTAGTAAATGGAATAGTTATAGCGACGCCTCTTGGGGTCGTCAGTCAGGGCAGGGACATGCTGGGGCTAGAGCCCCGGCCCAGCAGAGCGGTGTGTGAGCAGCTGGGCAAAATGCCCGGGTTAGTGTGAAGCGAGCTACTGGAATGGTCGCAGGCTGCGGAGTCTGAGATGCTAGTAGGGCTAGGCCAAGGTGAGTCGGGGTACGAACCGGTTCCGTTGTCCACGTGTCCATTGCTCTGAATCGTTGGAACTGCTCCTCCGGTTCCATTGACACCATTAGTGGCACCCATCAATGGTGCGCTGGACTTGGTGCCTGCAAATACATAAAATTGCCACATTAACTTTGTTACGGTAAGTTTTTGATTTATACTTAGATAGATAACCAAGATTAAGTTTATAGATATTTAAATGTAATTTAAATTATATATTTAATGAAAGAAAAACTCACCGTTTCCGGCAATCTCAATGTCTCCATTGGCCAGAACAACCGCTCGTGGTGCATTGAGCCCATTTTCCTCTTCCTTAACGCACTTTATTAAAAATAGTAGTGAGGAGCCGAGTAGTGGGGGCAGACCAGCGAGGATGAATGGTAATGTGTAGGAGTTGGTGCTGTCGAAAATCATGCCAGCCACTGGAGGTCCCACTGTCAAAGGAATGGAGCTCAGGCCCAACAGAAATCCAATGGCTTGAGTGGCACCTGAGGGACCACAGATTTCGTAGGCTATTGGTCCCAGAAGCGAGATGAAACAGCCATCGAAGAGACCCATAACTAGGGTGAACGAAACGAGGACCACATATGAGTTGGTTAAAGGCAGCAACAGGGTGACCAGCCCAATGGATACCAGGGACAGCTGTTGCAGGTACATGCGGTTCACACCAGGCATATCAGCTATAACGCCAAAGATAAGTCGGCCGATACCGGAGGTGATGCCAATGCACATGACCGGTAGGTTGACATCCTCGCCCGGAAAAGTGGTCTTCACAAACTGCATCATGTGCACGTAGGGGACAAAATATCCGAACAACGCAAGTGGCACGCAAAGAGCCCAAATGACGAAACGCTTGCGCTTCCAGATCTCTACGTTAACTATGGAGCGCAGGAAGAGATTAATGCGAGATCTTCCTGGCTTTTTCTTGGGCGGCTCCGGTGGCGGATGCAGTGGTTTATAAACAAATGAGCAGATGATAATGAAGGCAGATACGAGGCTCATTATCTAAAAATTAAAAAAAAATAATCATAAATCTAAAAGGTATTTTAGCTACACTTACCCTCAGGGTCCCCTCAAGACTATAGCTGACCAGAAGCTTGTCCAGACAGGGTGGCAGTATCACAGTGAAAACGCTTGAGCCGGCGGTCACGAAGCCGCTTACCTTACCCAGGTATCGTTTAAAGTAATGACCCAGAATGGCCAGTGTGGGGGTGTAGGCGAGGGCCGCACCAAGGCCAAACATAATGCCATAGGTGAAGTACAGGGCACTGATGTTCTCGGTGCAGAACGAGGACAGCAGCAGTCCTCCTGCCGAAAGGACACCACCGGCGAATGTGGTCAGCCGCAGTCCGATCTTGTCGGTAAGGCAGCCAGCCATTGTGGAGAAGAGGAATGTGGTGCCAATGGCCAGGGCCCCAATCAAAGCTGCAATTTAATCATATTGCGTTAAAGATTAAAGTTGGATAAAATAAAATAATCAGAAAAACAATTACAATGCCTATAAACGTTCTTGAATGTGTATACATGAAATGACCTATTTTTTAAATCTTCCGAAAATATTAACTTGTCTTATTCTTACGTAAAGATAATCAAAATAAATGCATTGTATTTTTATATGATGAAATGTTTATGACTTTTAATATTTTAAGGAAATATTTTGCTTTCTTCTTAATTCCAGTGTGCAAAGTAAACGTCTGTACAAGAATTTTGGTTTTTATAATATACAAAATATCTATACAGTTCGTATTTTTTGTTGACCTTCCTGAGATTAAGTTATAAATAGGCAATTTGAATTGATTTAAAAGTGACTAAAAAAAAACTGCCACCCATTGATAGAAATAGTTGGTGACCAACCGTCTGCTCGACCGAATTGGACCAATTTCAATCGACAAATCGAATCTCACGCACTTGCGGTTGATTGTGAAGTGAGGCGATCACATGAATGTCTGGATATTGGCCACAGTTCCAGGTGTTTCATTGCAACTTCCAGGTGGATGCCAGTCTGCATCAAAAAGAGCACGACTGGGATATCTGATCCGTTGGCGGTTGGCGGGGCCAAAGACTTTACGCATCTTGTCGCTTGCCATTTAAAGATTGGATTTGATTTTCGTCGACAATAATTTTCCGCTGAACTCTGCGGTCTGAAGTGGGGGAATCCAATTGTTTTCGTTGCGTAAACACTTTCGCTTGTTCTACTTCGGCACTTCAAATTGATGTTCGATTGACAGAATCAGGTTAATTCTTTGTTTCCCGCTAGCAAAGATGATCTAATGCTGTGATAAGGTTCGCGACTCTGGCAGATGTGCAGCTGCAGCGTCTCCAGCGACTTTGGTCCATTGTCTGGGACATGGACAGTGGACCGAAGCAGGTAGCGGATGAAAGTCCGGTTGGAGATATCGTGAATTTGGAACTATTCAGATTATTTTATGAAGTACGTACTACGCAGTATTTATAGCTTTATTACGGCACACTAAACAATGCGGATTTATAGTTGTGATCGGAGGGAATATCAAATACTATTGTACGCCGGAACTAGAGATAAGAATTCGATTTGACTCGCGTGTCAGCCTGATTTTATTGCTACAATCGGTCATATACGAGAACCATTCATGATAATTGCTAATAAGTAGACGGAGCTAACCTCCCTTGAACTTTAACCTGAAGATGTTTATATTTTTCAATTTAATTTACTTTCACAAAAGCCGTTTACTTTTTTGAAATTCTTTTGGAGAATTACAAATACCCTCTTAAAAGGTCGTCATCTTAAAGTCTCTGTCTATATAGAAAATTTAACAAAAGAAATGGAATAAAACTGCAACGTATTAACCCAAAATAGAACTTGACCCACTCTGGATGTATCATGGATATTTATTGACCATTCGCTGCGGCACGAATAACCGAGGAATGGGGCCGTGAGATGGCACGTAACTCTCCCCACATGCGCAGAATGATTCTCCCGCAATCTCGGCAAGAGGCAGGCAGCCAATGTCAATGCCACACACAATGATTCTCTCTTCGCAGATAGTCAATGGCAATCCGCACGAGAGCTGTGAAGAGAGCCATTAGATAATACCCGTAGTACCCGGTGCCAAAAATCTTAAAAAAGAATCCAAACGGAAGGGGACTCTGCCGAATTACATGGCACCGGTGGCGTCTGGCGTTCGTCTGAGAAGCGGCAAAAATAGATCAGAATATTTTTAGTATGCCTCATATTCATAGATGGCAACCCGATGCGATCTCATGCAATATCTGACGCAATATGCAAGGGTATTGCATCTTGGGAAAAGCTAAAGATTGGCAGCCGATTGATCTTGACCTCCGATTCACACGGATGAACCAATGGGCCACTGCCCATTAAGCTCCACTAAGTCGCTCTGATGTGCTTATGGAGGTGTGTAATTGACAAAGGCTGACAATTAATTGATGAATCGACACCGCGATAAAAGTGGGGAAAATATGGCGCATAGAGCTCGGTTTCGGATTACGTCAGGTTTTAATCATATTGCGGAACTGGCAGCTTGTCTTAGCTCTAGCTCTAGCCTTAGCCCTAGATGCACATATATGTAGCTTTGACTCGGAGGAGGATCGCTGTCAGGCGAAGCACTTGAGGGGCTTCCCCGGCAGCGTCGGCCGAACAAGTAACTGGGTCAGTGGCGGGTGCACTTTTGCCAGTGCCTTTTTGTCTTTGCCGGCCAGTTCTCCACCTCGTCTTAAAAGCGCCGGCCGTGCCCCCAATGCTTTGCCGGCCCACGCTGCGTATGCGTAATGCAGGCCGGCAGCCAAACCTTGACAAACAGTCGCAAATGCAGTGAACTCAGCTCAAAATAAAGCAGTTGTGTCCAGTTTTTCCTGGTGGTCAAGTTGAACTGCCAAAAATTGATCCATTCCAGACGGAGAACACTCTAAGCTCCAACTCTACTCCCGAGTCTTGACGTCGCTTTCTTCGTGCTCTTCGCACTCGAAGGCTGTTGAATAATGCTTTGTGATCCAATCAACTTTTAGCAATTTAATTCACTTGACGTCGGTACGTTGGATTCCTATATAGTCACTACGTACTACAACGTTTTATTGAACCCAAAAGCCAGAAGAGAAGCGGCTATGTGCGTTGGCATATTCGAATGTCCGTTAGATTCGAAACAAATAATAAATTTGAATAAAAGCTTTCAATCGTAATATTGAATATTCTCCCATTTTATTCCCAATTGCGTCAAACACTAATCAAATATATATTTGGAAATATATTAAGTCTTTTATATTCCAAGGGGACTTCGAATGTTGATAGTGCCATCTATATTTACTTTTTAAATACAAGTCATGAAAATATTATCAATGAATGTTCTTTTACGATTGAACCTTATTCGAATCAAAATCAGAGACCCCCCGGGCTGCAATCAAAGGCCACAAAATATGATTTGATTTCTAGAGAGGATGGACTGCTCCGTGCTAGAACAGATAATGGCCTGCAAAACAACTGCCCAGTTCTCATCTAATCTCATTTACCCTGCCTGCATAATTACAATCAACGCCACCCGACTGGCCATAAATTCTGAATTAATTTGCCGCGGGCTGAAGGGATTATGGACATCATGCTATTGCTTTCTTGGGGGGATGTACGAGACACCGTGTAAGACTCACCCGCCTTGCTGGAGGCCTCCGGGTCTCCAAGTTTTGTGAGACGGTCCGTCAGCAGCGAGTGTATTACGCCGTATGTGTTGATGAATCCGAAGATGATGCCGTTGCAGAGGAAGGCGCTCACCATGACCAGCCAGGCGCGGGCTCCTCCATCCGGAGGCTCCTTGCCGTGTATATCCCGACAGCAAGGTGCTTCGATGTGTGTCCCGTTTCCATTTTGAACCGGAGCAGGGGGCTTCACGAGTTCCTTGCCATTGGCATGAACCACGCCATTGGCTACCGGTGCGATGTGTCCATTGGAGGGTAGGATGCGTCCATTTACCTGCTTCTGGTCGTTCAGCGGCTCATTCTCAGCCATGTCTATTGGCTAGGATTGGGTTGTGAGAGCTGTCTGTAAATAGTAATAGTGGATTATGGTTTCGAATAAGTGTGGTTGGGGATGCACTCTGTAATCAGTCAGCCACATTGCACCCAAATATGCTGTTGACTGCCGCCTGCCGAAATGATACGAGTACCGCTCGCATTTCCCCATCCCGGAAAATAATCACAGACTGACGGAATTGGCTAGCCAAATATTTAGACACGTTTATCGCTATTTGCGCCTCCGGCAAATGAAAATGCAGTTTACATTGTCGGCAATCCAAAATCCAACCAAGTAAGAGATGAAAGCACGAAGTGCAAGATCTCTAGGGAAAGTTACTTTGGAAATAAAAGCTACAAGGTAGAGCCTATCTATATAGGTCTATCTGAAAATTCAAGGGATAGTTTTTGAAGGACAAGCAATTTAGGCCTCAAACACTTTAATTATACATTTTTTTTAAACTTTCACGGCTTTAACTAATTTTAGCCAGAAAAAATCACCAAATGGAAATAATTTCCACTTAGCTTAAAACTTTTTTTCAAAAGCAAAAAACTGATATTCAAACCACACATTTCTAATCAGTACTTGCCCTTATGTTCATTTTAATATTAGTCACATTCCCAATGACTGATCGGATTTCACAGCTCAGAGAATTAACAACATAACAGTCTTCGGTTTCTTATATCCATAAAAAACAAAAACCTTTTAGGTTTAAAACCCCAAGTTGTCGTTGAAACACGCTCGATTTCAATTTCCCTACTTAATATCTGGTCAGCAACATTGTAATGCATTTTTTGAGCTGCGCAGAAAATAGATTGCATTACAAGCGATAACTGAAATTTGTCGCATTTCTCGATTATGCATGCCCTTGTCAAGTGCACTTTCGGTTGGCTTTGGGGGGTTTTCGAGGTGGGTCTACGGTTCATTGCAATGCTCTGTTCTGCAAACGTTTTCTTTTTCCCGCACCGGGGCAGCCGAAAAACCGCACCGCAATAGCGAAAACTCAATGTAACGCGACCGCTCGCCAAAATACAAAGAAAATTAATAGATAGTATTGAAACCGCTTTCGTTCTTGGCGGCTATCGCAAAATTACGCGCTATCAACGCCGTGCACGTGTCCGCTCGATGACGACGCACTGACACCCAGCCCAATCCCACAGGGGGTCACTGCCTAAATCGAAGGTCACCGGTCGATGAATTTGCCCTTATACAACGCCAGTTGGTTGCCGAGACCGAAGCCTCCTTGGATCCTTTCCTGTACGTACTTTTAAGCCGGAACTCCAGTCGAAGGGGTACGATTCGCTTAAAGACTCTAGGAATCCGGCACTCGAACGCGAATCAAGCAGTAATGAGTGGGAGGGTTGAGACCTCTCGAGCGAGCACACAACCGAGCGCTTGCGTCGTCGGCGGCGGAATGAAGAAAACTGAATTATTTTCCACGAGCCGTTTTGCAAAATAATTCGCTCGCTCACTTGAGGCGCCTAATCGGAGAAGCAGAGCGACAGAAATCGCAGCGGTTGCGTTCTCTGCGGTAAACAAAAATTCACCTAGGCAACGGCGAAGATGGGCACAAAAACAGAAGGGACGCTAAAAGGTTTCCCGGCCATGCATAAGATGCAGCTTCTTCAGCTTCAGTTCCTCACAAATCACATGATCAAGAGCTGGATTTTATGCTCAAATTGAATACTCTTCTAATTGATCAATTCCCAGAATTAGAAACTGAAGCATTCGCCTGCCCAATGCGCAGTACTATCAATTGGTGACTTAGTTGGTGGCGATGACTTCTATAACCGGCAAGTGGACATATCCGCCGCAGCCACCAAAGAGCTCCAAAATACTACTACAAAAGTGCTTCACAACCTGACCCCAACTTGACTCATCCGGCGAATTGTTCATTCCTGGCGCCGGCGCTTCCTCTTTTCATTCATCGGATCAAAGGCCCGTCGAGTGTTTTTGGGTATGAATGTATATTTTGACTGGACTCCGACTGGGAGCATAGGCCACGTGCATTGTGTTAGAAGAGGTGAATAAATGTAAAACTTACTTGTTAGTGGAAGATTCAATTCGATTAATTTAAAATAATACTAGTTAGACGCTCGACAGCTTCACATTTTTAGAGGAGCTGAGTCGAGGGACATGGGTAAAACGTTAGGAAGCACAGGTTCTGGTTGGTCGATGATTAGCTTCAGATTCTTTTCTGGCCACTCTAGCTCCAACCTCTCCTTGGGCTCGCAGTTCTCGTCCAGCCCTGCGCTGCGGAAGTCCTCCATCAGACGCGGTACCAGTTCATCGGGGATCAGAACCTGAATCCAATAGCCCAGTACACCGTAAGGCTCGCTAACGGTGACCGCCGAACCAGTCACGCTTTCCGCCACCAAAGTAAGAGCCAGATGCTGAGCCTTGAAAGTGAAGTGCCTTCCATGTCGAATACGATCCTTAATGGCTAGCAGCAGGTACTTGGCCACACTGGGTGCCAAGGTAATTTCAATGCCGTCTAGTGAGATGCAGTTGGGTGCCGGAGGCTGGAAGTCTAGGGGACAGGACTTGTGCAGCGAGCTGCTGCTCATCGACATGGACTGCGGAAAACTCGGTTCCTCGCGCTTCATTTGCGTCTCCGTCAACGGACGGTTGTTCTCGTCATTGGCGCACTTCTCACTCAGCGTCTGGAAGTCTACCTCCTCCTTAATCGCACTGGTGGGTTTTATCTCACGGAACGTAAAATCCGCATTGACGCCAGCCAGATCGGAACCCTGCTTCTCTAGGTCGTCCTGCAAGTTCAGCAGCGTCTCGGGGAACAATTCAAAAACGCTCATTGGCCGATCCATGTTGGTTACCAACCAGTCGCCGCCCGTCTGTACATCTTGACGCAAAAAGTTCAGCACTCCACGTCCGTTCCAACGTGAAGCCTGCTCTAGTTCGTTTTCAAAAACTCCGACGATCTGGCAGAAGTCTACAGTGCCGGTAGGTGTCTCGATGCATCCTAACTGTGGGTCTTGCGCGACAAGTAGGCTCTGCAATTTTGAAGTGGCGCTGCCATCCAAGCTCTTGCGCCACGGAATGTTGTCCCCAAAGCACAGTCCGTTGCCCGTTTGGAAGCAGTAACGTGCGATGGCCTGTAGCAGATTCGCTGGCCATGTGGGTGGTCTTTGGGGCTTCTCTGGATTCTCGATTTGTTGCTTTAGTTCCGCTTCCGTCTTAGCCAGGCGAAAGGTGAGTTCAAATCCCATTCCGGACCGTGTAGAATCTTCCTCGCGCAGATGAACGCGCTCATCGCCATGTAAGTCGCTCAATCCAAAGCTGATATAGTGCCAGTGCGGTGGAATGTTCCTGTCGGCATCCCCTGGAAAATTGTACATGCTTATGTAGTCCAAGGGATCCTGACCTCCCAGCCAGTATTTGAGTAGCGTGGTCACTTGCAAGGGGTTGGGTTGGTTCGGGTACACCTGTCCCAGGTGTTCTATAATAGCCTTTAGGCCCGGAGGAGGCTTCACCTCCGGTTTTTTGTCTACAGTCGGTTCGGCCATTTCATCCAGAGTGATCAGTATGACCGTAGGTAGATCGTTCTAGACAAAACAAAAAAATATACCGCACTTTAAATATTCCAAAGATGTAAAAAAAGAGAAGTTGATTTTACATTGTATTTTGTGCATTTTACATTTGGTGTTCAAGTAATTAATATTTAAAAACTTATATATATTTTTCATATAAACAGCTAATCTTTTTAATAGCAAATAACGGAGATAAAAAAAAAATAGTTCTGAGGGTTTTAATTCCCTGCTGATATTTAATCTACATTTATTTATCAGCAGTGACCACCATGTCAAATGTAAAATTTATCCAGGCGTAAATCGCGTTTGTAAAAGTATCATCGTGGTTTATTTCTGCAAACCTCCTACGGTCACCCTGTTGACCAACTATTTAATAGAAAATTTGCAAATTTTGAAAAACGCACAAAATGGAGCCTTATGATGTCGTCGTTAACCAGCCCGTCGTCATAGATAACGTAAGTAGATATGGGTCAACGAAATCCTGAAATCGTTGGACAAATCGTAAGATCCCAGCGTTTTAGTTCGAAAACAGTGACATCACCTACCGCCCGTCCCTTTGTCAGTAAGCTTTCAAGCCGTCTCCAAATGGCCAACATGACTAATCCCACAACCAAAAACTCAACATACATCAAAGATGGTTTAATTTGAAAGTAAACGAAAGTCAAACGAGTGATTTTCATAGGATGCTATTCGTCTAATCCTTTCATCTGCCTAACACACGCACACACGGATACCTTCGGGTGTTGGCTGAGTCCCTGCTGTTGCGACCCTCCATCTGGAAGCCCCTGTCGAAGTCCATCTTCCGTCCGTATTCTATGGGATACACCACCGGAATGGACTCTACGTGAGAGGCAGCTGGTCTCTTTAGGCGCTCAAGCTCAGGATCTATCTTAATGCCACATTTTCCTCTATACGTGCTGAACAATTTGGGGCGAAGCAACTTGTTGTATGGATCACGGAATTGATCCCGGTACTTCTGGCACTCCAGGTAGAATGAGTCTACCCTGTACATTTCACCGTAGCTGACGTTGGTCAGTCCACATCTCGGAGTAAACTTAAGGATTGATTCCCGCTCGATCTGCGAGTTCTTGGATACGGTCATCATGTCCACCTCCGGTACACTAAAGGATTCCATGCTTGCAATTCAGATTTTCCCAATTCTCACTGGAATTTTGTTTTGAACTGAGATAATTTTGAACTGAGATAATTTTGAAATCACAACCAAGTACATTTTTATTTTACAGGGCTCCGGTGTGATCAAAGCCGGCTTTGCTGGTGAGCACATTCCAAAATGCAGGTTTCCCAATTAGTAAGTACCCTTAAGCGCGCAGTACGCTTAGAGCTCTAAACTAATGCAATTTTCTACAGTATTGGCCGGCCCAAGCATGTCCGGGTGATGGCTGGCGCCCTAGAGGGCGACATATTCGTTGGACCTAAGGCGGAAGAGCATCGTGGTCTGCTTAGTATCCGGTATCCCATGGAGCACGGCATTGTCACTGATTGGAACGACATGGAGCGGATATGGAGCTACATTTACAGCAAAGTAAAGTCGCCATCAATATGTGATTTTTAGTCATCACTCATATAAATCTTAATAACTAGGAACAACTGGCGACCTTTACGGAGGACCATCCCGTACTGCTCACCGAAGCCCCGCTTAACCCGCGCCGCAATCGTGAAAAAGCAGCCGAGTTCTTCTTCGAAGGAATCAATGCACCTGCGCTCTTTGTGTCAATGCAGGCGGTACTCAGTCTGTAAGAATTGCAGTTTTTGGAACCCTATCAAGCAATTTCATTTGGCGATTTACTTCTAGGTATGCCACGGGACGAGTAACTGGCGTTGTGCTCGACTCCGGCGATGGTGTGACGCATGCGGTCCCTATCTACGAGGGATTCGCTATGCCTCACAGTATTATGCGCGTGGACATCGCCGGGCGCGATGTGACGCGTTACCTTAAGACCCTCATCCGCCGGGAGGGCTTTAACTTCCGGTCGACTGCCGAATTTGAGATTGTTCGCTCCATCAAGGAGAAGGTCTGCTATCTGGCCACAAATCCCCAAAAAGAGGAGACCGTGGAGACAGAGAAGTTTGCCTACAAGCTGCCCGATGGCAAGACTTTTGAGATTGGACCGGCCCGCTTCAGGGCGCCGGAGGTACTCTTCCGGCCCGATCTTTTGGGTGAAGAGTGCGAGGGCATACACGACGTTCTAATGTATTCCATTGAAAAGTCGGATATGGATCTCAGAAAAATGCTCTACCAGAACATCGTTCTTTCCGGTGGATCCACACTCTTCAAGGGATTCGGCGACCGTTTGTTGTCCGAACTAAAGAAGCACTCGGCCAAGGATCTCAAGATCAGGGTGAGTATTTCGTGCGAAATACCGTATCTTTTCAATGTTCTGAAACTAATATACTTTAACAGATCGCCGCGCCTCAGGAACGACTTTACTCCACATGGATGGGCGGTTCGATTTTAGCTTCGCTCGATACTTTCAAGAAGATGTGGATCTCGAAGCGCGAATACGAGGAGGAGGGACAGAAAGCCGTGCACAGAAAGACTTTTTAATGTGTTTACTAGCTTAAACGCCGTTTGTAAAAGGCTAATTAAATTGTATATCAAATTCTGTCAGCTAATATCCTGTAACCCAGAAATTTAAAACAAATGTGTAATTACTTACGCATAAAGGGCGCAAAGTATTTAAAATGCTATTTATTGAAACTGCTTTCCCAGCCTAGAAAATAAAGTACTAAAATTTATAAATACTTTCAAATGATTATTCCCAAGCCCAACGTAAAGAGAACAATAATTTTAACCAATCTTGGCTGATTTAGATGCAACTGCCTGCATTGTATTACATTTTTTGTCACATCACATATGTTTTATCTGGGAAAGCTGATAACGCCAATTTTGGATGTACGCTGGAATACTTGCTCTGAAACTTGTTGCGAATCAAGGGAACAGAAATAGATTCCTTACTTCATCTGAGGAAGCTGGTAACACCAATTTTGGATGTATGTGAACCCATCGGAATACTTGTTCCCAAAAACATGCTCTTGCTCGGAATCAGGGGGAATACTATTGGCTGGCGATCCACAGTTGCTGAAATCGCCTGCGTCAGACGAATCAGGTTCTGATCCAATTTGATTCCGCACTTTCCTTTGTGAGTTTGGAAGAATGGTGGACAGTGCACTTTGCCGTAGGGGTCACGATAATGATCCCTGTACTTCTGACACTCCAAATAGAATGTATCGATCTTGTAAATCTCACTAGGACTAACAGTGGCCAAATCGACGGAATCGGGAATAAACTTTCGAATCATCTGACGATCTCTCTGCGATTTCTTTGATACGTCCCAGTATTGAGCCTCTGGTATGGGGAATTCCATGGTTATTTTAAGAGAAAACTATACAACAAAATATATTTAAATTTCTTTCTAGTGTAAACTTTCTTTAAACTGCTAACGAAAGCTATTCGAAACTATGACTATTTATTAAGATGATTCCAAGCCTACTTGTATATTTTTTTATTAGTTTTAAAAGGCTTGTTGCCTTTAAAATAATATTCCAACTATAAAACAAATCGAGAATATATATACAAATTAAAATATACATAATATTTTTTTGAGTTTCTCTTCAACATCATTTAAAGAAATGGTTTTTGAAATACAAATAGTTTTGATTATTCTAAACGTTAAAACGGTCATTAAGTCGCTTAAGGAATTTAATCAATAAATTTACGCTCAGTGGATTGAATCATGCCTTCTCGAAAACACTCTTTCCAGCTTGCCCATTCGCTCTATGGTCAAGAGTACTAAAAACCCGACTCGTTCGCGGGTTGTACTCTCTGTGCTGGATTTCTGAATTCAGTGCGCCGTCAGTTGTTTAATCGTTTGGTTGGCCTGCAAACCGTCTCTACGACAACGCTGCTCCAAAGTATAAACAACAATTGTGTTGCCAATTTGAGAAGACAATGAAAACCGAAACCACTTGAATTGAACGTTTTTTGAGTTCTTTTGTGGGGCTTGCAAACTGATCCAAAGTGCAACGGTGTGTGACAAAAACACAAAGTCAAATTGAAAAAAAAAACCAAAGATTCGTTCATGATGGCATCAGGTTTGGAGCGGGTAAACGAAAATGAGGTAAGTCCGAAGATATTCTATCTTCAAGTGTTGTCAAATTGCAAGCACACACTGACCTTGATCTTAACCGTATAATTCCTGGTCATGAATTATTTAGTTATTCGTGCGAATGAGACACACCACCATATCCTCATTTATATCCCATCCGTAATTGTCAGTCCATGTAATTGTTGCTGTTCGTGCAATTTAAAAATGATATGTGCCCCACTCGCTTGCCTTATGCACCTTAAAACTCCGATGAGCTGTGCGAAATAGCATTTGAATTCCCACCGGTTGTTTGTTCTCATATTGATTTTCTAATTCTAACGACAATTATATGACACACCATACACCCTATAAATGTAATTATCCTTGCAACTACTTGTAGTATAGTTAAATATTTCGTTTCTTCCAGAAACCTATAAAAAATGCTTGGGAGGTATGAAATGATTTTTGTCTTATTAGTCTATTTTTATTCCATAGATCGTCACATTTTTTACTGTGCATATTTCTGTAACCCTTGCCCCCAATGTAAGCTTTTTGTATGTCTATTTTTCATTAGCTGGAGTTGTGGTGTTCTGTTTTCTTATCAGCAAAAGATCTAACATAAATGGCAAACAGATAAAGAAAAACTTTGGAATAGAACTTCCAGAGTAATTCACTTTCATTTTGTCCATTGCACCGGCATCATGACATCTTTCTTCGAAAATGTATCCTTTGGTTTCTTACTTCTATTATAATAATAACTTCTATATTAATATTTTATATCTTTTCCAGATGAAAGCCATGGATGCCAATCGGTATGCCACCAAGAAGACGATCGCCCAGGGCATGCTGGATATCGCTTTGTTGACCGCCAATGCATCCCAGTTGAAGTACATCCTCCAAGTGGGCGAGCAGCACCAGTTCTACAAGCTAATGCTGATCCTGATCAGTCTATCCATAGTGTTGCAGGTGAGCATATAGTTTTTTATATCTTTTTAGACTAGTTCTCTACGTGTGCTGCACAGAGAAAAACATGAACAAAGATAGTCAATAATTCGCATTAAAATTATTAAACAATGTTGAAGCAATTTTAAAAATTTTAAATAATGTTGAGAAAAAAATATAATCTTATTACTGTCGTATAATTAATGCCCAATTATATTTATAAAGTATATAAAAAATTGTAATTGTATTATATCTCGAAACTTAGATTGTTCATTGTAAATCAGTCGACAATATGGAACTGATATTGTTATGTTCTTCTCTGTGTAGGTCCTGTCGGGCGTGCTGAGCTTGTCTCTGAGTTTGCTGCGGGATTGTCGGTTGCACCAACCAGAGTTCCACCAGTCTGCTAATATTATAAACCATGTGCGCACGGGTTTCGCCTTTTTCACGACTATGATAAATCTGTTTATCTCGGCCTTTGATAATCGACTGCCCCCGCCACAAGGGGACTTCCTAAACAATGTGAACTAGAACTGGGGGTGTGGGAATAGAATAGGACTCCTTACATCCGGTTTTAACACTTTCCCTATCGATTTCAACAGCTTTTAGTGGGCATTCTATTTGTGGTCATCGGAAGTCTCAACATAAACAGGAAGCAGGATCAGACGGCGGCGGTGATCCTGAACGATGTCATTTTAGTGGTCGTGTTTATAATATCCGTGGTGAACGTTATTATATCCGGTTTCGGGATAGAGTACTCGTCCCAGCCACTCAGACTTCTTGATCAGCATGAAAAGACACCATAGAAACTAGAATTCCAACGATTTACACCAAATTATATATATTTTAAGGATAATGTAAACTTAGATTGTAAAGCAAAATAAATAAAAAATATTGATGTTAAATCGTTGCTTTTGCTTTTACCATCACAAACAGGTGGCTGCTGGAATACTGCTGGTCATCCAGTCACTAATCAATATGCATAATCCCAAGGATCGAAGTCTGGGCTTCACAATCAATCACTTTATAGATGCATTCATATTCCTGGCAGTGTTCTGTGACATTATGAAGATGAATTTCGGCATCGATCCGGCTGTGCCACACAGAAGTGATGATGCGGAGCTTGTGAAGCCTTAAAAAAATATATATCGCGTAGCTGTACTTTTGGCATATGTGATCGGCGTAGCCTCAGACTTATACTTATACTTAAACATTTTACATATAAATTTTTATCAAAGAAAGTAAAATTTAAGTTAAGCTGTGTTTTAGTTTCTCACCACAGATTCATCAGACCAGATTTAGTTGCCTCTTTCAGAGTTTTATATTGTTATTTGTGGACTGTAGTTTCGAAAGCCAAAAAATTTCAACGTATATTTACTAAGATTTCAAATTAATTACGATGCCACGTTCAGAAGCGGGCGACAGGTAAGCTGTACTTTGAATTCGATAGGCTCCCGCCAGCTACGCGATTTTCCCGATAGGCACTCTGTTAAGTAAAATTTTATTTTTATTTTAATTTTCTGTTAAAAGTGTTAAATTACAATCGTGTGCGCTTAGGATCGGTACTAAATATACGTGTACTCTGGACTCTGGTATTTTAACATTTAAAAAAAAGATTGTTAACTTTCCAGTGTGACCGGCAATAACGTAGCTGGCACTGTTATGATTCTGTTAAATTGCCTGTGTGACCGCTCCGGGAACCGGTAAAATTGCAGCAGAAATTCGAGCTGCAAAATTAGGTTCAAGTCAGCCATCGCGGCTGGCCACAGTATTCACGAATGATTCACGCACGATTATTTTTGGAATTTCGACTTTTTTTCTGGACCGAGCGGACCGAGGCTGCACCGTATGAGTAGCAAATAAATCCCACGTCCCAGCGCAGCGCGACAATCGAGTATAGACACATAATAAACTGCCGTGGTCGTCGAATCCGTTATCCGCGCCAGTCAACCCGTATCCATATCCGGCCGCGTACACTGATTTCGAATACCCAGATCCGTTTCTAATAAGCGTTTCGCGAAATGTTCAGCTTCCTCAAGCGCGAGAAGAACACCCAAGAGGTGGTGGAGAATGTCATCGGCGAGCTGAAAAAGATCTACAGGAGCAAACTGTTGCCGCTGGAAGAGCACTACCAGTTCCATGACTTCCACTCGCCAAAGCTCGAGGATCCGGACTTCGATGCTAAACCGATGATCCTGTTAGTTGGCCAGTACTCTACGGGCAAGACAACCTTCATCCGGTACCTGCTCGAGCGTGACTTTCCAGGCATCCGAATTGGACCTGAGCCGACAACGGACCGCTTCATTGCCGTCATGTACGACGATAAGGAGGGTGTAATCCCGGGAAACGCCCTGGTCGTAGACCCCAAGAAGCAGTTCCGGCCGCTGTCCAAGTACGGCAACGCCTTCCTGAATCGTTTCCAGTGCAGCAGCGTGGCCTCGCCTGTACTGAATGCCATTTCCATCGTGGACACGCCCGGAATCCTCTCCGGCGAGAAGCAGCGCATCGACAGAGGGTACGACTTCACCGGGGTTCTGGAGTGGTTCGCGGAGCGAGTGGACCGCATTATCCTGCTGTTCGACGCCCACAAACTGGACATCTCTGACGAGTTCCGGCGATCGATTGAGGCACTAAAGGGACACGACGACAAGATTCGAATCATTCTAAACAAGGCGGATATGATTGACCACCAACAGCTGATGCGGGTTTACGGAGCGCTGATGTGGTCGCTGGGCAAGGTTCTGCAGACGCCAGAAGTGGCGCGTGTGTACATTGGTTCCTTCTGGGACCAGCCTCTGCGCTTCGACGCCAACAGGAGGCTCTTTGAGGACGAGGAACAGGATCTCTTTAGGGATCTGCAGTCATTGCCACGCAACGCAGCCCTGCGGAAGCTGAACGATCTGATCAAGCGGGCGCGCTTGGCCAAGGTGCACGCCTTCATCATCGCCGAGCTGCGCAAGGACATGCCATCCATGTTTGGCAAGGACAGCAAGAAGAAGGATCTGATCAAGAACCTCGGCCAGGTTTACGATCGCATCCAGCGTGAGCACTCCATTTCTCCCGGAGACTTCCCCGACATCAAGAAGATGCAGGAGGTGCTACAACACCAGGACTTTACCAAGTTCCACTCTCTCAAGCCTCATCTGCTTGACATCGTCGACAACATGCTGGCTAAGGATATTGCGCGGTTAATGGAGATGATACCGCAGGAGGAGATGACCATGATCGCCGAGCCCGTTGTCAAGGGTAAGTCAAATTAAAAGCACCGCTTTGTCGCATTCGTCACGCTGCACTTGCTTGCCAGTCAAAATGGCCACCCCTATCCGGGCAACCAGACTTCCGACTAGTTACTAGAGAAGATACCGAGAAATTTTATGGTTTTCCAAGAGCGTTTCGCTGGCGTTTTCGCTTTCCCATCGCACTGTAGCATTGCGCATGCGCAGCGAGAAAAATTCCCCAGTTAACCCAGATATTTGCCAAGCCAAAATGCGAGGAAAACAAGTTTCGCCAAGCGGAGTAAGCGGGTTTGATTCCAACACAGCTAGAGCTAGACCGCAGCCAAATGTATTTAATGGATACAATTACAATTGGCAAACGAAAGCCACTGGGACCGATCCTAAAACCCCGAGCTTTCCATCCTTGTCCCACATCCACAGCTTCCTATTTTCGTTGGCTGGCGAATTATGTAATGCCTGGCAACGACTATATTTAAACTGTATACTAAATACGAAACATATTTGAGCTATATAAACAAAGTGATAAGCCCCGAAAACTGATAAGGCGGAAAAAGTCGGTGTCAGTTTAGCGCTTAGGCAACACACACGCACTTTTTTGCAAAACTAAACATCGAGGTGGAAGCAAATATCACTGAGAACCACGTACTGTCGTATCTTTGGCAAATACTGGGTTGGCAAGGTGATAAGCAACTACTTTGTACTTGAAAGTGGGCGCCAGTATCAGGGCGTGGCCCCCGCCGAAATTAAATTATACTTTTTTGTGTGTCAATAATTATCGAACTGCTTTCGTCATGGTAAAGAAGTAAACCAAGCTGACTGTTTTCTCCCAGACCTGATAAGATTCGTGGTTATGATGTAATCATTGGAAAATACCGATAGCTTGAGCACAGGGTTTGTTCTAATTGGGACATGAGTCATCAACAAAGAAAAAAAAGAAAATAAAACAAGGCGTACAGTTGGGCATGATAAATATTTCACACTCGGGTACCCATTGGCTGAATCGGATCTGGCTGGCTCTCCGGACCAGACGCATCCAGGCAACCATGACGAATACCACGCACTCGATTTCGAGCCAAAACGCCCAGCAAAACAATCGAGTTTAAACGTGGAGAATCAGATGAAGCCGGGAGGGGCTGTAATGTAGTTAATCAGAGAGACTAGAGGCGCCAGTCGCATTGTAGTGAGTCCCAGTATCCGGTTAGCTAAACTTTAATTGAAAGTCAATTTAATATGATGCAGGCAAGCTGCCTTGCCAACCGGTTTACTGCGACCTCTGAACTTCGTGCGTGGCCCTAGAGTTCAAGGCCTAATTACACTTTTCCCGCACACCTGTTCGCATTCCCCCATGCATTCGTTAGTGGGCCAGGCCAAAGTGGCTTGTTTGTCAACCCTTATCGCGTTGCTAGGCAATCTATTGTTACCTGCAGGCAACTATTAGATAAAAATCAATGTAAGGCCAAGTCAGCATGGCATCATCAAATGTCTTATCAGTCCCGAAATGTCACTGTATTATGTCTTCTTGACTGGACTGCGAACGAACTCACGCGGCTCGAATGCCCCCGTCTGGTCTTCTGTGATTAGCAGTGTTCTAATTTCCACCAGAAAATATAATAATTCCTTTTATCTGCAAAGTAAACAGTAGGTAATAACTTTGCCACTGTGGCTACTGGCTAAGAGACATTCGTGGAATTTTTAGAAATTTCAGACATGTATTTTTAACAATAAAACTGAGCACTATCAAAAATAAGGAATCATTTTTGTAATGCAATTATATACATAGATAATGACCTGCTTATTATGTAATCTACATGACAATTACCACAAAACTAGTAATTATATTCGTCTTTAGGGATCATTGAATGTTATACAACCAACTTATAAAAAGCTAGTAACTAATTTTATTGCTTATTTATATAATCATGTGTTTTGCATGCACACGCCTTTTTATCGTTCGAATAAAAAAGAGTATCGTCAGCACATCCAAATGGGCTTTCCATTTATTTGTACTCGTTATCAGCAAGTAAATGATTTAATACATATGTTTCCATGCCCAAAACGAACACTACAAAACTAAAGCCGAAAAGCGTGTGATGGGATTAATTCTGTGCACAAAACCCGCCAGACAAGGAGAACGAAAATAATTATCTCTTAATAGGCAAAGCAATTTAAAATGGGAAAAGTAAATAATAATAACTTTGCATTCCAATATTTGCTGCCTTTTAAGAGCGGAACAATGCTCTTGGGTCTACTGAGAAGATTGTCCGGTGCATTTGTCATGCGGCAAGCTGAACAAACAAAGCACAAGCCCGGACCTCAGAAAATTCTCCACGCCCCAATCCAGACGATCCCTAGCATAACCCATCCCACCTCATCTGTGGGCTGAACCGGTTGTCGTCGGATATTTTTTTGATGGCGTTGGCAACCTGAGGCCGCGTATCAATTTGTGCTTCTCCGATTCTGACTTGGGACGTGTGGCACTAAGTGGCTCATCCTCCGCCTAATCCGCCGATGAATACCCCAAGCGGGGGACCAAGTATTTCAGATGAACTAGCGCTAAGTGCAGGAAGAAAGCATTTTACTATGATATATAGCTTATAGTTCGGGAGCAATACAGCGATTCACAATGGCATTGTCTGAGGCCGTGGCTGATCTTTTCAGTTTGCCTTTTGGTTTGTGGACCACTTGAGTGGCTTTTTAATTTAACTATTAGCGCATTTGGCATGACCTTGTGCGAAAGCATTCCACACACATATTTATATATATATATATATATATATATAGATATATATGTATAAACCGTATAAATTTGTTAGGGGGTAAAAATCTATGCATAATACTATGACCGAAAGCGATCGACTGATGTCATGGGGGGATCATTATTTCAGGGGATGTGTCATTCGCAGTTTCGGCCTTCCAATTTCGAATTGTGTAAAATTCGATAGCCCCTAAAATTGACTCAACAAGTGAATGAACTTCTCGTGTATTATTACACCAAGGGCCAGGGGGCAGAAGAATTTCACTGAACGTACCCCTGAAAGAGAGGCGGAATGCGTTGATAAAGCGAATCGCGATCAAGCAGCTCGAAATCAAAGTCAAGAACTCGGGCCTCTAATTTAGTGCATGGGTATCTCAGATACTCTGGGTGTGTGTTTGTATATTTGTATCTCTGATTTTATTTTCGTTGCATTGACTACTGCACCGTTTGGTTTTATTTCATAGCATTTCCGTTGTTTTGTCTTGGATAATTGACTTGGGTATACTGAGTGAACAGTCCAGCGCCAAGATAAGTTCGCTGTTGTTCAGTGATGTCTTTATAGTTTCTGTTGATTTGCTAATGGAGTTGCTACTCTGAAGTACGTTTCATTCTATCGGACTTATGTATGTATGTATCTGGACCGTGCCCTCAATCACACTTGGTCAGGTTGTCAGCTTTTTTGCCTTGAGTCACTTCCTTCACCGTCACCGCACATCTGAAAATGTGCTGGCATCACATGTTTAGCAATATGTCGCTAAATAGTTATACACATATCTAACACGATCTTGCAGAAAAAAGTTCTTCTGTTCGCCGTTCTTTTGGTTCTTCGTACTTTTCGTTTTCGCCATTGGCCCACTAATTTATCTTGGTTTGATATCCACGTCCGAGTCGCACTCCCGCACTCACTCAACTCTACAGTTGATGCTCCTCTGTCAACCTTCTTTCTCTCTTATTTCTTGCATAACCAAAGATGATTCTGACGAGGATTTCGATTTGGCCGAGGAGCCAGCTCTCCTCACCCCTAGTTCGCAGCGACAGCAGTTTGCGGAGCGCTTTGATCGCTGGTTGCAAAATCTGCGCCAGCAGCAACTCCGTCTGTTCAGCAGCTGCACTAGTCGTGTGGGCAATGTCGAGAATGATAAAGAAACCGATCCTGCTCCAGAAACAGAACCTGAACTTGAGGCAGGTCTAGAGGCTGATTCAAAGTCTGAGCTAGAGACCAAGCCTGATCCTGAGCCTGAACCTGAGGCGCAACCAGAGGCGGGGACAGGGACAGACATTGACGTAAGCTTCCACAGTAGTTGTTTTATAAATCAGCGGCATTACGATAACGTAAAGCTTATTAAAAGGAAATCTTGGTTTATTTAGCTTATTAAACAGTATTGATCAATAGTGAATTTATATATAACTATATATAAACATTTTTTATAAATAGTTATTTCATTTGAAAACGATATTCTTACATTTTCATAGCTGTTTTATGACATAAAAGTGTACGAATTGTATTCCACAAATAATTTGTTTGAATTTAATAGGGTTGTGTGCCTTAAAGCTATAACAAATTCTATCTAATTTTAAAGATAATAATAAGATAAACATAAATTTTTAATATACTTTTCGTAACCATGCACTAAGTTTCAGTTCACCTATGGGCTCTTCCAATGCCACCCGGAGAGCCCTTTCAATTGTCCGTTGCGACAGCAAAAGCCCGCAAACAAATTGAGCAACTTCAAAAAAGTGAATTGAAATCGCACTTGGCAACCTGCACCGCCCATCTCAATTGCCCCCCAGAATGCACCACAATTGCCAGTTAAAGTAGCCGGCAAAGTACATGCTTAAGTCGGTCAGCCGTCCTAGTCACGATACGGCAACGGCGGCGGCATCGGCGACGTCAATTGGAGCCAAAACGATCTGAAGGTTTTAATTGCCTCAAATTGAATGTTTGTGCACCGCGACGCACCGATCAACTTAGATTACATGCTTAATTAATGCAAATTTATGGCGCACACAGACTATCAAGTAACGATTTGACCTTTTCTCCATTTCTTCTTCAGGTGGTGCCTTCGAGGGAGTCATCGACGATCACGTCTCACCATTCGGCTACATGAAGGGCGAGGGCATTGATGCCGGCTACGGAGAGCACGAGTGGATTTGCAACAAGGACAAGCCGCGCACAGACGGCATCTTCAATGGGCTGGGTCCCGTCGATGGCAAAATATCCGGTGCAAGTAAGTATTATCTGCTTCTATCTTTAAAAAGATAAAACTAATCAACATTTTCCACTTTCAGCTGCCAAGCAGGAGCTCATCAAATCAAAACTGCCCAACTCGGTGCTTAGCAAGATCTGGAAGCTGTCGGATGTCGATGGCGATGGCTTCCTGGACTCTGACGAGTTTGCGCTGGCCTTGCACTTAATCAACGTCAAGCTGGAAGGCTGCGAGCTGCCCACCGTGCTGCCGGAGCACTTAGTACCGCCGTCGAAGCGCTATGACTAGTGCCCTGCGATATATACACCCGATCACACAACCTCACACCCCAAACACACGTACACAGCATTCACATAGAGACCAATTCCTAGGATGCACTATGTTCGATTTGTTCTATTTTCAACCACAGTGCAGGCAACTGCCTTTTTTATATGTAACTATACTCGTTGTGAACGCGCTAAACTGGGTATTAAACACACACCAGCGGCAATGGCAAGCATTGCACCTATGAGATAATATCAATCATAAATTCGTAGAATTTACACAAAACATAGCATATTTTTGGATAATCGATTGTAAAGCGAGATGTAATGTAAAGATGAGAGGAGAAACCAGCCTAGTGGAATAAGACAGGAGAGTGTGTGTTGAGCGCCCAAATGTCGTTGTTGACTTAAGGAAAGTGTGAAGAAGAAACAATTGTTCAATGCCAATGAAAAAGCATGAAGTTAAAAACTGTATACAATATCTAGGTTAATGTCGATATGCAGCTTGAAGAGCCATTAATTTGCAACCGTACCACTTTTTGATACACATTAAATGTATTTTTGTTATATTGAAATTTACAAGTGAATAACGTGGGTATATGCATGAATTTCCTGTATTTATTTTGCAATATTATTTAATTGTTTGAAATGCTACCACATAAAAGGCCACAAGAATTGAAATAAAAACGTTGTGCAATTTAAATTTTGTTAGTGCAAATTATTGCATGTGCTTCGGACTATTTTGTAATTAGTGAATTCTTGAATATTATTAAATGTGAAATTGAAACTGATTTTTAAATTGTATAAAAAGTATAATAATAAACATTTTTGGAAATACCTATCGTTTTGCAATTAAATTCGGGCATCATTTCAATTTCTTGTAAGGCTTTTGGGGATCCCATTATTTTTTTCAGTTAAAAATTTGAACTTAAAGACGAGAAAACTCGTGACAAGCCTAAGTCTATTTTAGTATATTTTCTATATTCCCGTGGTATATTAATCCGGTCGAACAGTGGTCACACCTCAGATAAACTTCATACCGGTCTTAATTTGACGTTTAATAAACTTATTAGTATAAAATTCTGATATGGCCACCTACGAGGAAGTTAAGGATATTCCAAACCATCCAGAAAAATACCTGTTTGACGTCCGAAACGAGTCGGAGTTGAAGGAAACTGGTATCCTGCCCGCCAGCATAAATATTCCATGTGAGCTGCACCAAAGTCTAGGGATTATCGGCTTAATAGACAGATCCTCCATTTATTTCATTTTTCAAGTGGCTGAGTTGGAGAGGGCGTTAAACTTACCTGACAAGGACTTCGCCGAGACTTATGGACGCCCAAAACCGGCAATCGATTCGGTCATGATCTTCTCCTGCAAGGCAGGAGGACGTGCAGCTCGAGCGGCTAATCTGGCCAGCACCCTGGGCTTTTCCAAGTATATTTACGCTTTAAAATACGTTTAGTTCTGTACATTTATTTTCCTAATAAATCATTGCAGCGCCAAGGCTTATGCCGGATCCTGGACGGAGTGGCAGGCGAAGCAGTCTTAAAATTTTAAACATGCTGTCATATAAATTTGTTAAAAATTCTTTAAAATTTGAAATACTACAATTAAAAAATAATACAAACTACACCCTAATCTCCTGCAATTCACCCCAACTACGCCCAATTCTCAGCTTAACCCTGAGCGGCACACTAAGCTTTACGCAGTTCTCCATGGTGAGGCTAAGAACTTTGGCAATTTTCCTGGCTTTGTCTGCAGGCACCTCGAAGATAAGTTCGTCATGCAGGTGCATCACCAGGTCAACAGGTCTGTCCCCCAAACCCAGCTTATCTCGGTACCGTTCTATGTTCTTTTCCATTTTTAACATTGCGCTCTTCGCAATGTCTGCAGCCGATCCTTGGATGGTAGAGTTAATGGCCTGACGCTCTGCCTGATCTGCGGGGAAATAAACATTCGTAAACAAAATTCTATATGGTTTAAGGACAATTACTTTTCAGCTGTTCCTCAGCACTGTTGACATGGTCTAGGTAGCGTCGACGTCCTGTTATGGTCTCTACATAGCCATTATTCCGAGCGAACTTGACGACCTTCTGCGTGTACTCTCGAATGCCTTTATACGCCTGATGGAATTGCTCAGATATCATCCTGGCCTCCTGTTCATTGCACTTCAACGATTCAGCCAGGGATCGTATACCCATGCCATATACAATTCCGTAGCAGATCTCTTTAGTGCCATTGCGCAACTGCTCTGATACTTGGGATTCGTCGATCCTGTTCCAGTGAGCTGCAATGGCAATAAACAAATCCTGCGGGGAGTTCATGACTTCCACTAAAGCCTTGTCTTGCGACAGGTGGGCAAGAATTCTCATCTCCAGCTGACAAAAATCTGCCGAAAGGAGACACCTCGTCTCATCATTCGGTGCGAATGCAGAGCGACAAGATATATTTAGCGCATTCGATCCCACTTGTATTGCAAAGTCTTTTGCCACATTTTGAAGATTAGGCTCTGTCATGGAAATACGACCCGTCGCCGTATAAGAAATGCTCTGGCCATGAATTCTGTTAGCACTACAGCACTTGAGCAAAGGCTGAATGCTTTTAGCCAGAAGCCCGCCCAGCTTTCGGTGGCCCAGTATCAAAATTGAAATGGGTGAGTCCAACTTCTCCAAAACTTGACGTGAGGTGGTTACACGTCCATTGGGCTTACGGTTAAGACCCAGCACCTTGCCTACAGCCTGCGTCGATCCAAGATTAAAACGGGAGCCATGTTGCTCATATATCTTTGACTCTAACTTCTTCATGCTCGCTGACATCTGTTGGCAGACCCGCTGCAGCCGTTGCTCGTTGACTGGGAAGCCAACAAACTCCATGTGGCAAAGAGTCATTTGAATGGGCATTTCAACATCTGAAGACGAGATTTGTTATTAAAATTTTAAGGTTACAACTTAGAACCCACCAGTGAAAAACTTTAGCAATTGACCCGTTCCGATCCTTCCAAGATTCTCGATTTGACCATTTAGTATGTGCGCAGTTACACATGCCTCTATGGATGACCTTATTTTTGGAAGAATGGCACTTGAGCTATCTAGTCCATAGCTGCTGTAACCACGACCGCTACCACAAATAGATCCGCTAAGGCAGTGCACTCTGGAGCGAATTGCTGGCACTGAAGGATCGAAAAATTAAAAGAAAGAAGCGAATGAAATATATAATAATATTACCATATTGTGATAACTCATTGTCCTGTCTGGCTGCAGCAACCAGTTTGCCACTTTGGGGTCCTCCAGTTTTGCGCTAATCTTCTGCAGCTGGGGAATCGCTCTTAACAGTATCTTTAGTTGTTCTTTTCCATCGTGCATGAGTAACGTGAGGTCCTTTCGAGCCATCAGCTTGCATAGTTCCTGAACCTTTAGACTAGTGGGCACCCCCTGGACCTTTGCACTCCCTTCGTCCTGCATATTTATATAGTATACTATATTGTCTGCTAGAGAAAAAGACAAGCAGGAGATGAAGTTACTGTCGTCCACTTGAAAGAGAACTTGTTTGTCGGCAGCCGCCTCCCGCTGTTCCGCCGCAGCAACCTGGTTGATCAACAGGTTGGCTCCAATCAGTGGCTTTTGTCTGCCTGCTTGAGCCTGCAGGCCCACACTAAAGCCACAACGCGGAGCTTCGAGAAGTTCCATGAGAGCGCCTTGAAACAATTGCCGGTTGCCACAGACGTCGATTATATCTATACTAGAGAAACTTGAGGCATTTTCATCCGCTTTTGAACAGCTTAGGATGTGTGAGGCATTCAGTTGAAGTGGATTTTTCATTAATGAGTTCTCCATAGAAATATCCGAGATTTCCATAGAGGAAGCCACATTGGACCCGCCTTTTGAATCAAACTCCGTTTTGCTTTCATTTGGCAAAGTTTTGGTCACCGTTGATCTGCTTGGTGATCGCGAACTGGGACTCTGCAAGCGTTGCGAACGTAACTGGTATGAACGCATCAGCCTGGATGCATGTGGAGTTAGGGCACAGGATACCTCCGGTTCCTTGGGCTGGGAGCTAGGAATCTCGTCTGTTTCCGAAGAAACTGGTTCCTTTCCCTCAGCGGCTGTAAGAGCAGCGGTTAGACCGGTATTAAGCATAAAGGAATCGTCTGCCATAAATAAATCCTGCTCTGCGGTGGAAGTCTTTCTTGAAGTTGTGCGATTCGGTGTGGGTGTTGGGGACTGTACATGGTTCCTTGGACTTCTTCGGGGCAATTGAGGGGATGAGACTTTGTTATTTCCGCGTGCTGGAGTTGCAGAAGATTCTCTGCTGGAACTGGAAGGAGTTTTGAATGGCTTCGGAATTGGTGGATTGCTGGGGGTAGAAGCCTTTTTGTTGGGTGTTCCCTGATTTTGGATGCTGTGGAGTGCCTTGAGTCTTTGGAGAAGTCTGAGCATTATTTAATTCAATCGGAGTGTGTTCAAGGGAAGATGGTGTACTTCTGATTGCCTGTATGGGTGGATCCTTTGACTGGTTTTCCATTTCGGTACGTTTTTGCTGAATTTTCATTAAAGCGATTCTGCGGCGTTCTGCAATTTCTTTTCGAAGCATCTCTTTACGGGCAGTATGACTGGTGCTGGGTTTTTCCTCATTTGGTGATTTGACTTTTGGACTGGTATCTTTATCAACCTTCGATGTTTGTCTCTGGATTTTTTCTGGAGATTTTTCCTTGAAATTAATCGCTGTTGGTTGGATTCTGTTTTCATTAGAAAATGAAGGAGGAATGGACACCTTTGCCTTGCCTTTGTCAACTGGTAGTGAATCCTTTACCTCAACCGCAGATCCCTTTTTAACCCTGTCTTGGTTTCTTTTTTCAATATGTTGCAAAGGCTTTTCAGAAGAGTTCTTTACACCACTTTCAATTTTTTCACCATTATCGAAAGTTTGAAGTTTTTGCTCGAAATTCTTTTGAATCAAACTCGGACTTAAAACTGTTTTATCTCTTTGTTTTGAAATATTTTCATTTGTATTTAGATATCCGACTAAACTTTTTTTCTGTGGGTTATTTAGTTTATTGCCCAGTGGTTCCAGTTTAGGAATCTTGTGGGTCGAAGCACTCCCAAAACCATGCTTTTCTTCACTTGATAGCTTACGCTTCGGTGGTTGCTGAATCTGTAAATGCTCCTCCTCAAGCGACATATGAATGTCCACATCCTCGTTTTTGCTCGTTGATTTAGGACTTTCATTGGTGTCAATCTGTGTCTGTGTCCACTTTATGCTCCCAACTCCAATCTCGTGCTGGACAAACTGTCGCGCTTCGCCAATGAAAAGTTTGGCAGCTTCACCAACTGTCATTCCCGCCTTGCCGGTGATGAAGAAGTTTCGTATCATATTTCGCTTGGCCGCCTCCTCCGCGTTCTCGTGATCAAGCTGCTTGGCGGAATCAAAGCTTAGGGAGTTGAAAAGTACTTTCTCCAATTCCAAGACATCAGCACCTGCTAGTTCTACCAAACTGGTAAATCCGGCATCAAAAAGAGCACGGGCACGTTTCTGCGACAAATCTGGTAGCCGCATTAAATCGATGAGATCTCTGTGGATGCCAAAGTAGAGTCTATCCTTAAACTGGGATACTATAAGCGCTAGCGTTGACCACTGCAGTGAGTTGCAAAAGGCCGTAACAATACCCGCGAAAGTAGAGGCCATCTGCTGCAGACCCTGCAACATTCCTCGGTGGCACTTAAACTTGTGCACCACCACGTTGATGGGCGTCTCGTTTACCAGCTCTTGAAGGGCCAATGCTGTATAAAAACTGATTGATATGTAAGAATTTTAGATTTTGTACCTTTTGTACGAAAGTATCTTACCGCTTGTGAATCTGCATCTGCTTGTAATCCAATTTTGTTTGACCACGCATCGCCTTTACGAGAAAAGCTTCTTTGACCCCCACCAGTTCACCCACTTTCTTCATAGCCGGGTTCAGCTTTTCCCACATATCCAGGTAAATCAGCCAATCAAGGTCTTGCAGCTGGTAGCACACAGAATAGGGAGTTACTAGGTATACAGCATGCAGTTCAGACTCTAGGACGAAACAACGACGGGATTTCTGCAACTCCGCAAAGAGTATAAGACCGTCAGTGGGCGGCATTGAAGAAGCCAGACATGCGGCACCAAGCCGTGTGGCCACATAGGCTGTTGTATCCATTTCTTCGTTCGTTTGTAGGCGTACGAATTCGTACTCTACAAGAAAATCCAGTGCATCATTGATGTAGTGGGAATCCGAATCCTCCTCTGGTGGTTGTTCCTTCTCTTCCAGCGCCTTCTGTGCACTTAGCAGCGTACAGTTTACAAAGCAGTCAATATCCTGCTTAGTGCTTGCTACACCGGAAGATATAACCTCCAGTAGTGCGCGTTTCAAGTGGGTCTGTAATGGGAAGTTCCTTAATTTTGTTCAGGCTATTTCTTTAGTTACTTACACTTCCGTCCATTTCCAGGCAGGAAGTTATCGGCTGCAGCTGTGCTGTGACCAGGTCTCTTCCAATTCGAGCATTGCTCTCAGTGCAGATAAGAATAGACTCGCCCAGTGTATCCTTGCCCGTGCGTCCTGCTCGTCCGATCATTTGTCGGTAAGTCAGGGAACTCATTTGTTTGCCACCAAACATAGGCGAACGAATAAGAACTCGTCGAGCGGGTAGATTAACACCAGAACTCAATGTGCTGGTGGCAACTAGAACCTTTAAAGAGCCCGCTTTAAAAGCTGCCTCAACAATATCTCGCTCTTCAGTAGTAAGACCGGCATGATGAAAGGCGCAGGCATAAGTTACAGCTTTGGACATCACTCCATCGAGACCTAGAAAAAATTAAATAATTTTAACTGGTCATTAAACAAAAAGTTTCTTATTTCTCTAAACTAACCTGTGGGGATGTCTCTTAATTGTTGTTTTACTTCCTCGATAGCCGTCGGATTGAGATTAGCCCGTAAACGTCGGCCCAGTTCTGAGCCAGACTTAATGAGAACGTGCATGGCCGTGGCTAGCTGAACAGACAAGTTCTCGCACCAGTCCTTCGATGGGCAAAACACAATGACGGAGCAGCCCTCCAGCAATGTCTCGATGCAGAGCAGGGCGACATCATCAGAATCGTTTCCCAAGGCTTGTCGCATTTCTTTTTGCTGGGATAGGTCGCGCAGGAACTTTAACTGCTGATCAAAGATCTTTGTGCCCACTTTGATCATTTCCTGAAGAGCTACGGGACGATAGTTTGTTATGTACAGTTCGGCATCAAGCCAGGTTTTTAGCAGATCTACATTTTCCAGAGTGGCTGACATGGTGATGACCTGAATCTGCAGTGCATTGCGACGCGACATGTAAAGGATCTTAGCCAATAGAAGTTCCAGAATGTAGCCACGTCCTTTGTCCGAGATGAGATGGACCTCGTCAACGACTACGGTGCCAATGGTGTCCAGTTTTCCTTGCTCCAGGAGCTTGTTCACAATGGAGTTTGCCTTCTCGATTGTGCAGATTGCCACGTTCAGGCTTTCAAAGCCTCCGGGTGGTGTATAACCCCCGAAAAATCCTTCCACGCGGTAACCAGCCGGTGTGAGCAGATCCTGCAAATAGAACATTTTCTCGCGCACAACCGAGATGAAGGGCAATATAACTAGCACCTTCTTCCCGCGCTCAAGGACAGTTTTTAACAGGAGAATCTCACTGACCAGCGTTTTTCCTGCAGACGTGGGTGCGGAGTACACGAGATTGCAGTGCTCGAAAAGCACTCTTGGCTTGCAAAGGCACTCCACTTGCCAGTCGAACATCTGAACGACACCCTTTTTCTTGTATTCCTCCTGTATGCTGAAGGGTAGATTCCAGGAGGCTATTGATTTATGAGACTCCAGGTCCGGAGGAGCATCTGTAATCTTAGGTACCGCATCCCGGACTCTGGAGGAGTTAGGCGACACTCGCAGTTGGTTGGGCGACATACTGCTTAAGTTCTGGGTGACCTGAGAGATCTCGTGATAGACATTCTGCTTGGCCAAGACGCAGCGACTACGAAGGATGTCCTCCTTCAGTTGTTGGGAAGCCTCCGGATCCTGCGCGGGACAGAGGAAACTGCTTTCATCCAGACTGGGCAGCTCCTGAGCTGCTTCTTTGCTTTTTTCTTCCATATCAAACACATCCTCTGTGCAAATCTGGGCATCGAAAGCTGACGAGGTGCTCAAATCTGAATCTGTATGGGAGGCGACTTCCAGACGGTCCTGAATCTGAGAAACATTGATCATTGACTGCTCTAAAGGTTTTTTGGCTTGATTAATTTCGTATGAGAACTCGTCCCGAAAAAAATCCGAGTAATTGTCCTGACTTGGGGTCTTAGAATCCTTGCTAACTGCTGCTCCTTGGATATTTGGGTTGCCGGCATGTGTGTTCTCTTTTCCAGCCGCTTGTATCCCTTTTTCCAGCTCCATGAACGTGCTATTTCCAAAGTCAAATGACTGCGAAAACGCCATTGCAGTAAAGTTTTAAAATATTTAAAAAAATTTGAAAATAAATTATTTAAAAGGAACAAACAAAAATAAACAAATCGACGCGGGGTCAGTGTGACCTTACAAAAATTGGGTTAAATATTTTGTACCGCGATCGAGTTTTTGGGACAAAGGTTTTTCAGTTCTGGGTTTCTTTCGATGATTGCCTATAATATTTTTGGTATTTTTCGTTCATAATAAAGTCACAACAAATCACAAATCACAAACAAGGTATTTACATAGAATAATAAGGAAAACAGGTCTAAAACTGTTGGGACAACTGTTGAAGGAAAACTGTATTTTTTGGCGGCTAATGTCTGGTCCTACTGCGCTGAAAATCAGCTGCGGACTTCGCGAAAATTTGTTTACCCCTCGGAAAAATAAAGAATTTCGCTAAAAAGTCGGAATGAACGAGTTTAAAGTGCCCGCTCCACTCCCAAAACCCAAGGTGATCATCACGGAGAAGCCGCGCTCCGAAGTTCCTGCAGAACCACCGCCTCCGCCGCCAAAAATACCAAAAGCCCCCAAATCTTCGCCAGCTGCCGTCTGTCCGTACAAGGTGCCTAGGTGGTCGGCTCCTCCAGCCGCCGATCAGAATTATAGCTTTGAAGTCCTTAAGTCCGGTCAGATCATTGACACCGTGCGTCAGTTGCAGCAACAAGCGATTTGGACTTTTGGTCGCCTGCCGGAAAACGATGTTCCCGCCGCTCATCCGACAATCTCACGCTTCCATGTGGTCCTGCAATATAAGCCAAAGGAACTGCCAAAGATGGACGTTGAGGATGTAGAGGAAGAGGCAGAAGATACAGAAGATTCAGCCAGGAACGAACAACCAGAGGGATGGTACATCTATGACATGGGCAGCACACACGGCACCTTTTTGAATAAACAGCGAGTACCCCCCAAAGTTTATATCCGGATGCGTGTTGGGCACATGCTCAAGCTGGGCGGTAGCACCCGCGTTTACATCCTACAGGGTCCCGGCGATGATGAGGAACCTGAGTCGGATATGTCCGTCACAGAACTGCGGCAAAAAAGAGAGAAGGAACTAGCCGACGCAGCGGTTGAAAGAGAAATACGTCTTTTGGAGGCGGAGGAGCGAGAACGCAACGAAGGCGTCAGCTGGGGTATGGGCGATGATGCTGACGAAGAGACGGATCTCAGTCACAATCCCTACGCCAGCACCAACAACGAAGACCTCTTCTTTGATGACCCAAAGAAAACGTTGCGCGGTTTCTTCGAGCGGGAGGGTCTTAATCTGGAATACAGGTGCGATGAACTGTCTACTGGTTCCTTTGTCTGCCGGGTTGAACTGCCACTCGACGACTCCAATGGTAGGCCAATCATTGTGGAGGTAAACCACAAGGGGCGCAAGAAGGACTGTGTGGTACAATGCGCCCTAGAGGCATGTCGCACGCTGGACAGGCACGGTGTTCTGCGCCAGGCTAACCAAGAGGCGCAAAAAAGAAAGATTCTTAAGAAAGGAGACTCTGACGACGAGGATGAGTTTTGGGATCGCACTGGAGACATAGCCCGCAAGAAACAGCGCAAGGAAAACGCGGGATCTAGTGTTACCCTTACCTATGAGGATTTGGTAAGTCTTTATGCCATTTTCTTTACTATTAACTAACCGTATTATTAACAGCTGAAACAGGAGGTTGATCTCAACTTAGAAATGGAAAGGGTGGAACAGGAGATCGCAGCTTACCAACAGAAGGAGAAAAAGCTAAAGGAGCTCGCCGCAAAGCAGCAAGCTGAAGGCGATGATCTGGACAACTTCATGAACATTCTTAATGAAGATGTTGAGCAACTGGACAAAACGGAAATCAAAAAGCTAAGGGTTAGGAATGTTAAAATATAATAAGAAAATCAAAACTAACTTCAGAATCTCACCTTGTAAACAGTTGGAGCAGCAACGACTCAAGGGCGAACAGCAAAAAGTGAAACGTCTCTTGAAGATAGCCAAGCCAACGGCTCTGCCATTCACCGCAAGCTTTGCTGCAGCCACCAAGGAATCAACAGCTCTGGAGGGCGGTGTAGTCAGGAAGCAGCTTCCTATGATTGGCAAGAGAAATCAGTTTAGCAAATTCAAGGTGGTTAAAGCGCCACCAAGCACACAAACTAAGTCTCAATCGAATGCATTTGCCTCAGATGAAGAGGAAGTCGAGGAGGAAGAGTCCAAGGGAGAAATGAAGGAAAAGGAGGTGGACAATTTGGAGAAGAAGCCGAAACCGGAAACTATGGCCAAGCCATCGCCTTCAGAGAATCACAACTCGCAGGAAAGTGAACCTCCTACCCAAGCGGAAGAGAGCAAACCAACAAATGCTGAACCGGAAGTCTTAAAACCAGACAACGTGATGTCAACAAAAGTTTCAGCGGAAGCGTCAACAGCTCCAAGCGACACTGTTGCTTCAACTACGCCAGCAAAAGACTCCAGCACCCCAGTACACGACACTCCAGATGAAGGAGCAGAGGAAGCGCAGAAAAAGCGACGCCAACGCCAAAGACAGCGAAACAAACAGCGCCAGGATGTGGACATGGACCTGGACGAGCTGGCTGAGCACGAAGACAGTGAGAAGTACGCCAAGTGGGTGCCACCATCTAACCAGAGCGGTGATGGCATCACCCACCTGAACGATAAGTTTGGCTACTAGCTCAGCGGTAGTGTTAAAACATTTAAAATATTCCATTTAGGAATACTTTTAAACTAGTCTAGACTTGTAATTGATGTATTCTCTAAGACCCTCTCAATGTAACTTTGTAAATGTTAAACCCTTGAATATTTTCATACTATTTTCAATGGGCAATGAGGGGCGCAATCTTTGTAACGACTCCAGTCGGAGTGTTTGAGCTTTCCACCACAATTCCAGTGCTGACAACTCCCCTTCTCGCTGGCAATCACCCCTAAATTGAGTCGAGTGGCGGCTTCCACGAAACGATTCATCCGCTGATTCGGCGAAAATTCCTGCGCACATACACAAAATGAACGCCCACTCGGCTCTGCCATTTTCCGTCGAAGAGGCCATCGGTTCGCCGATGGGACTCCAGTACTTGAACTTCCAAATCAGTTATAATTTCGTCGTTCTAACCGCCAACACGGTCCGACGGCTGAACGTGAAAACGTGCTTTTAGTTTACCAATAGCCCGTAGTCAATGGCTTATTTGTTTATCGAAACCAAATGGTTTTAGTTAATTGCTAAATTAAAATATCGATTTGATTGGTTTCAGTCCACCTTGAAGTTTGATTCGAATTAAGGGGCCATCGATTGAATATTAAACAAGCCAAAGCCTTCGAACCACCTGAAAGTGCAGGTGGATTGGATTATTTATATAATCTAGACCATTTTCGACAACTTCTTGGGTGCGGAGCCAGTGGCATTGTTTTAATGCGGCCGACACGCGTTTCCCCAACAGCCGGAGCACATGTGCGGGTTACATTTTAGGACGCGTAACAGTCCGTCTCAGAAGACGTCCCTCCGCTGGGGCGACTGCTGTCTAGCCTAGTGTTCTAGTGTTCAGACCGTGATTCGAGTTCCTACCCCGGAGTACTAATTCTCCGATTCTGATTCCTTTACAAGGGATCTGCGATCAAAACTACTACGGGATATACCCAAAAGCCCTTTAGAGCAGGGAATGTTGCATAAGCCGAGGCGCTTTTGATTGGCGCGCTTCTTTGATTGCCGTCGCTAAGCTCCAGAATCGAAAATTGGCGTCCGCTTGAACTTGGCGCACAAATCCCAAAGCAGAGGTGAGTAGCTACCCATTCGATTGCCCACAAATGCGCTGGGTCATGCGCAGATTGCACGCGGGGATTACCCCTGAACGTCCGTCCGACCATGCGATGCGCTCCGTGCTTTGCTCAATTTTTGTGAATGAAGCCCCCCTTGTGGGTAATGTGGTACATGGTATTGAGGTGTTCTTGAGGTTGCCGCTTGTTTGTCGTGGCTATGACGTATTTGCCTCCCCACACACGAGGCACCCTGAATTGTTTATGTATTTTACATAAGGCGGAGTACGGACTGTCCCGTTCCCAACTTTGGTCTGTTATATAACCAAGAAACGTGCGTGCTCCTGCCTGCAATCAGAATTAATTTCCGGACATTTAAATGGGCTTAAGTATTGGTAAAATTAGTTGGCAGCTATAAGCACCAAGAATTTAATAATACAACACTCATTTAAATCAAGTCTTTATTTACAATATTCATATTATTATTTAAAATATTACTTGATTTTTTTTTTTGTAAAATAACTAAAATACAAGTTATAAGGAAATCATAAACTATAAAATTGACATAAAATGATTTTTCCCAATTTAAAATCATTACGATTTTCGTTTATATACATACCTTTTATCTCTATCTATTAATCTAACCTTTATAGCGATTATAATTAGAAGTGCGTCTAAAGTATAGTCGCTGTAGAGGTCAAGCCCATTGCAATAGCTAGTTAATTGCGCGCCATTAGCAAGGACGCATTTTGTCACAAGTAGGCGGTATAAAGGGGTCTGGAGTGGAGGCCAACTCCAATTATATCCTTGCGGACAAAGGTCAGCACCACCAACGGCCATGGCCAATGCATTGGCTTAATATTTAATGCTTCGTGCTGTTGCTAGTTAATTGAAAAATGAGCTGCTGCAGGCAGCCAACAATATTAACCATTATGCTCAAGGTTGTAACTCATTTTGCCTCCTTCCCCGCAAACCTTGTATTCCATTACAGTTAAAGGTCAACCCCTTTTCAAAAGTATTAATTTACACAAGTGCGTTGAGAGTCGTGATTTTCGTAGCCAAGGACAGGCCTGAACCGCAAAGATGATCAATATTGCTGGCGTGGTGAGCATTGTGCTCTTCTACCTCCTGATCCTGGTGGTGGGCATCTGGGCTGGTCGCAAGAAGCAGTCTGGTAATGATTCAGAGGAGGAGGTGATGTTAGCCGGTCGCTCCATTGGCCTATTCGTGGGCATCTTCACCATGACGGCCACATGGGTGGGTGGCGGTTATATCAATGGCACAGCGGAGGCTATATATACATCGGGTCTGGTTTGGTGCCAGGCTCCATTTGGATACGCACTGAGTTTGGTATTCGGTAAGTTTATAGAATTTTAAAGGAATTCTTCGAACAAGTAATTCTTTTAATTTTAATAAATCTTTCTGCAAATTATATTTTTGCCTTAATTTTCTTCTTTATTTTTTTATCTCAGGTGGCATCTTCTTCGCCAATCCCATGCGTAAGCAAGGATATATCACTATGCTGGATCCCTTGCAGGATTCCTTTGGCGAGCGGATGGGTGGCCTGCTCTTCTTGCCTGCTCTCTGTGGAGAAGTCTTCTGGGCCGCTGGCATCCTTGCTGCCCTGGGCGCCACTCTGTCGGTCATCATTGACATGGATCATCGAACCTCGGTGATCCTCTCCTCCTGCATCGCCATATTTTACACACTCTTCGGAGGCCTGTACTCAGTTGCATATACGGACGTGATCCAGCTGTTCTGTATCTTCATCGGACTGTGGATGTGCATTCCCTTTGCCTGGAGCAACGAGCACGTTGGCAGCCTGAGTGACCTGGAAGTGGATTGGATTGGGCACGTGGAGCCGAAAAAACATTGGCTTTATATAGACTATGGTTTGCTGCTCGTCTTTGGAGGCATTCCTTGGCAGGTCTATTTCCAGCGAGTGCTCTCAAGCAAAACAGCCGGAAGGGCCCAACTCCTGTCCTACGTTGCCGCTGCCGGGTGCATCCTGATGGCCATTCCCCCAGTGCTCATCGGGGCGATTGCTAAGGCCACACGTGAGTTCTAGAATCTAAAAAGTAATATAGATATCAAAAACGAGCTGTGTTTATATTTCCCATTACTTTCTTAGATATTTATATATATCGTTCAGATAATAATAATCTTTGACTGATGTCCATTTCTTTTTGACAGCTTGGAACGAGACGGACTACAAAGGTCCCTATCCTCTTACCGTGGATGAGACGAGTATGATTCTACCCATGGTGCTGCAGTACCTCACGCCCGACTTTGTGTCCTTCTTTGGCCTGGGCGCCGTTTCCGCCGCCGTGATGTCCTCAGCAGATTCCTCGGTGCTCTCCGCTGCCTCCATGTTTGCCCGAAATGTGTACAAATTGATTTTCCGTCAGAAGGCGTCCGAAATGGAAATAATTTGGGTGATGCGCGTCGCCATCATTGTAGTGGGCATCTTGGCCACTATTATGGCCCTCACCATACCCTCCATCTACGGATTATGGTGCGTGTGAAGATGCATTATTTACCTGACAGGCAGATCATTTGCCTAATTGCCTGTATTTCTCTTTCTCTTCTGGACAGGTCCATGTGTTCGGATCTGGTTTACGTCATCCTGTTCCCGCAACTGCTGATGGTGGTGCACTTCAAGAAGCACTGCAACACGTACGGCAGCTTGTCGGCATACATTGTGGCTTTGGCCATTCGTCTCTCAGGCGGTGAAGCTATCCTGGGACTAGCTCCATTGATCAAGTATCCTGGCTATGATGAGGAAACGAAAGAGCAGATGTTCCCATTCCGCACCATGGCCATGTTGCTCAGCCTGGTCACGCTGGTTTCGGTCTCCTGGTGGACTAAGTGAGTATAAAATCTTCGTTGTTATATACAAGATACACCTAAGCCAACTAAATTTAAAACTTTATTTATTTAAAACAAAACACAGAATGATGTTCGAGTCCGGAAAATTGCCGCCCAGCTACGACTACTTCCGCTGCGTGGTTAACATTCCAGAGGATGTACAACGCGTTGGCGATCCCTCGGAATCGGGAGAGCAACTATCCGTTATGGCTGGACCATTGGCCCGATCGTATGGTGCCGCCACAATGGCTGGCAAGGATGAACGCAATGGTCGCATCAATCCCGCCCTAGAATCCGACGACGATCTGCCGGTAGCAGAGGCAAGGCGTATCAACCAGGAGACGGCTCAGGCGCAAGTCAAAAAGATGCTAGATAATGCTACCGGGGTAAAGCCGTCCGGTGGTGGAGGTGGACAGATGAGTCAAGGCGGTATGGCCATGCCGGCTACGGATCAAGATAATACGGCCTTCTGAGCGGAGTAGAAAATCCCATAGGACTTTAAAAGCTGAAAGCCCGAAAGTATGCTGCAGTTAAAACCAGTGAATTATCCGATTTTAAGTTGCGCTTGTTAAGGGGGATTCAAATGGGGGAAGTTGGTTTGTCAGAAGTCAGAAGGTCAGAAGAAGGGACGGAGTACAGAAAGTATTAGGAAATGTACGTTAAACACACAAGTGCTCAGGTAAAAAGTGCAGAAAGCTGATCGTAAAGTTTACATTTTTATTTAGCGAACTTATTGTGTATAGTTTCTACAAGCTTTAAGCGTTCTATCGGTATTCATTTTGATGTTAGAGAATCTATGTGTAAATGTTCAAAACGGTATCAGAAGTGCAGAAATCGTTAACCGTATACATATCAACTGCATTTTCCTGGCCCGAGAATTGCATAAATTTATGTATTAACCGACAAAAAAAAAAGATTTTGCCGGAAGTAAGGCTAATTTATCTGTATAACCACGAAGATTTGAGCATTTGAGTGCCACAGATGCGAACAGATGATGATGTTTGCGCCACGTAAGCAATACGAATCGGCATTCCTGGCATTAGCATATCGATCATATACTATATAGATGCATATAATGTGAATCATGTGTCCTTCCAGAACGAACAAAGCTAAGCAAAACTAACCACAAAACTAACGCAAACGAAACATATCAAAACAAGGCGAAAGTATATAAATATATCAATATACATATCATTGGTGTAACTGTTGTTTGTAAGCTATATAGGAGAATGAATATATTATATATACTGGTACATCAACTATACCCAATAAAATGTGCAAACAAAGTAGTTGTGTAAGTGAGCGATAATGAGGCATATCAAGTTATATAGGAATGAATTTTAGCTGCTCTCAAAGAGCAAAAACCACAAAGTATATATGGCAGATCATACACAAGAAATCCCTGAAACGAACAGATGAAACAATTATACATATATATAAGATGTTGCGTCGTAGTACCTAAACAAATATATATACCTATACAAAATCATATACACAAACATATATATATACATATTTAGACAGCCAGACACTGAATTTAGAGAGTTATACCCAAAGAAACACCCACGACATTGACCCAATAAAAACCTGCAAAGAAGCATTGGCAAGGGAGATTCTATTCTATATAAACACACGCTGCCTGAACCCCAAACCTCAACCTTTGATCTCAAAGTAAGCCCGTAAAAAATTAATCCAAATTGAATATTTTATCAAGAGAGAGTGCGTTGGTTCCTCTTTTTGTAATTCACTCGGCTCGTTTGTTACTCTTTCGTCCCGTTGGAAAGAACTAATCTAAAATCTAAATCTAACTAAAGTCAACTCAAGATAACTAATATGCGTAAATAACTTGATAGGGTTTTGAGACCCATAAATACCATAACTACATACATACAACTAACTTAATTGTAATGAATGTTGACTGCTTTTTGATTGAGCCTCGTATGTTTGTTGTATTGGGGTAAAGTTTTTTAACGTTTACATAAGTGAAACTAAGAAGTGTTTGAGTCCATTTAGGATTACCTATCTCATATGATACAAGCATATCTGTTCGTTGTTATTGTTATTATTATATCTCTATTTGCATCAGATCTGAGTGTGTAAATTTTGATAACGTTTGAATCCGTTTAACTAAGGAGTTTAACTAAATTTCCAGAGATCCTACATAAATTAAGTGTGTGTTTGTATTTCATGTTTCACGTTTCAAGTTTCTTTGTGCTGTTAACAAGGTTTGTAAATATGCAAATTACTCGAATCGTTTGTAAAGTTACTATCAACTACTAAACAAAACCACCAAATAATTTATGCATTCAACTGCGATGACTTCGCTTGGTTAAAATATAGTTCAAAACAATTCTGTTTTGCAATTAGTTAAAATATATGTATTTCTGTTATTGTTAACCAAACTTGGTCTACCCATTCCGAGTTTCCTTAGTGGCATTATGTTAACCAAAGCAAAAACAAAAAACCAAAAACAAAAATATAGGACGATGGGTTACGATATACATGATGTATTAAGATCAAATTAAACCGAATACATATCAATGTTTTAAGCATAGCGAAATGGAATAAAACCCCAGCAAAAAGAAACGAAAAAAGTATTTAATAAATAAAAGGTATATATATCTACATTAAAATGGTTTCTCTGTTTACTAAAAACCAAAAAAAAAAAAAACTGTTGTTTAGTTATTTATTCTATTTCTCAGTACTTAGTTTACCGACTCACTAACTGAGTGGCTTGTGAAATAAATGCAAACATTACGGCCCAACAAAAGCCGCCAAGTGACGAACTGAAGACAATAGAATTGTATTAGATCATAGGTGGAAATTTCTCAGCCCAACTTAAAGAGCAAAGAGCTCTTGTCGGTGTCGCATCTCATTGGGTTCCTAAGAAGACAATGCTTTTTTGGGATTCACATTGGCCAGCATGTGGCAACTATGCGACAGTTACTTATTTTATTTAGTCGAAAGTCAGTCGGTTAAATTGCCAAAGTCAGAGAAGCACTTGCCTGCCATTCCGCTGCCATCTCAACTGGTCTCAATTAGCATGCTAATGATGCAGTTACTATGCTGTTGCTGTTGCATCTGTTGCTGCAATTAAGTTGTAATCTCAATTAGATTGGAATCGCCAAATGAACGCCCTCCATCATAAGCTCATAACTTGTGTCGCTCAAGAATTGCCCCCTAATTGTGTTGCTGTCGTGTTGCAGTTGGTTGTTGGTTGTTGGATGTTGCTATCCGACTATATCCGGTATTTTTCGCAAAAATTTGCATTGTTTGTCGATTTGAACCTTCAACTGTCATTGGGTCGTCTCTACACTATCTCCACCGTCTTTAACTTCTGTTTGCTGTCAATTAGCCGAACGGAAGAATTCCGTGAATGTCGCTGTTATGTCGTAGATGTAAAGGTAACCGATCGCCCAGAACTGATGGCTTCCACGTTCTTCTATGATCTTCATCAAGTTGTTTATTTAACAAACGTTTCGTGTTTTATATCTAATGGTACAATGAATTACGGCTAGATTTCCATGGGGAAGAAAGATTATGGGCGAATTGGTTGTCATTTTTTGGGAATAATTTACAATTGCGAGTGAATGGCGACTGCGATGACATGATGTGGTGGTGGTGTTGTTCTTGTTTGAGTATTCAAAGGCACGTGGCGTATGCGCGATGCAGTGGTTGGTTACTCCTTACTTCTTGCGGTAGGTGTAGCCACCGTCGGCACTGTAGCTCTGTTGAATGGTCTCGGGCACCTGGCTGGGTCCATTGTACTCATAGCCGGAGTCCTGGGACGGAGCACTGGGATACGGTCCGGAGTTGGAGGATCCACCGGTGGGGGGAGCACTGTAGCTGGACGAGGGACCGCTGGGGAAGTTCAGAGAGGATCCTGCCGATGGAGCCCCATAGGAGCTGGACGGAGCTGAAGGGTAGCTGCCCGATGAGGATGCACTGAAGGAGGACGAAGATGACTGATGGCTGGACGAGAATGAGCTGGAACCGGATCCAGTGGAGGGTGCTCCATAGGAAGAGGAAGGAGCACTGAACGAAGGAGAGGATCCTGATGCCGGTGCTCCGTAAGACGAAGATGGGGGAGAGGGTGGTGCCGAGTAGGAATTTGATGGTGCCGCAGGGTAAGGTCCTCCACTGTTGGAACTCGAGCTGGGTGCAGAGTACGACGAAGAAGGCGCCGATGGGTACGGTCCTCCACTGTTCGAATTTGAGCTAGGTGCGGAGTACGAGGAAGAGGGAGCCGATGGATAAGGTCCACCGCTGTTTGAGCTCGATGATGGAGCCGAGTATGAAGATGAAGGAGCGGCAGGATATGGCCCACCGGAGCTGGAGCTGGAGCTAGGTGCGGAGTACGAAGACGAAGGAGCTGAAGGATATGGTCCTCCACTGTTGGCTGAAGAGCTTGGTGCTGAGTACGAGGATGAAGGAGCGGCAGGGTAAGGTCCACCACTGTTTGATCCTGAGCTAGGTGCCGAGTAAGAAGAGGAGGGAGCCGAAGGATAGGATCCTCCACTGTTGGCAGAGGCACTGGGAGCGGAGTACGAGGACGATGGAGCAGCGGGGTAAGGTCCGCCACTGCTAGATCCTGAACTCGGAGCCGAGTAGGAGGAAGACGGAGCCGAGGCATAGGGTCCACCACTGTTTGAGCTCGAACTGGGGGCAGAGTAAGATGATGAAGGTGCCGAGGGATACGATCCACCGATGTTGGCGCTGGGACTGGGAGCCGAGTAGGAGCTAGATGGAGACGAGTGGAAGGAACCCTTGCTTGGGGCACCGAATGAAGGAGCTGCCGAGAAGCTTCCGCTGCTTGAGCTTGATCCGCTGCTGGGAGCTCCATAACTGGACGATGGCGGGGAGATGGGCTGGAACGAAGAGGAGGGAGCTCCGTAGGAAGACGATGGCGGTGCTGCAGGTGCGTCATAAGATGAAGAAGGACCGGATGTGTAACCACTGCTGCCGAGACTCTGGGTCTTCGATGGTGCTCCATAGTTTGTCGATGGCGCGGAGGCCAAGGGCACAAAGCTGCTCACACTGGGTGCTCCGTAGTTAGGAGAAGGCTTCGAAGGACGAGAGGCTGGTGGCAAGTAGGAGCTTGGAGGTGCCTGAGGAGGTGCTCCATAGCTGGAGGAGGGTGGAGCTGGAGCGGATTTTGGTGGTCCATATGACGAAGAGGGGGCAGAAGGTGCTCCATATGAGGAAGATGGAGGTGCAGGAGCTCCATAAGACTTCGATGGTGGTGCTGGGGCTCCGTAGGAGGAAGATGGTGGTGCGGGAGCTCCATAAGATTTCGATGGAGGTGCAGGAGCTCCATAGGATGACGATGGAGGTGCAGGAGCTCCATAGGATGACGATGGTGGGGCTGGGGCACCATAGGACTTCGATGGAGCAGCTGGAGCTCCATAAGAAGAAGATGGAGGAGCAGGTGCTCCGTAAGACTTCGATGGTGGTGCAGGTGCTCCATAAGATGGGGAAGGTGGGGCCGGTGCTCCATACGATGATGATGGTGGAGCAGGTGCTCCATAAGACGATGATGGTGGGGCGGGGGCGCCATACGATGAAGAAGGCGGTGCTGGTCTCGGGGCTCCGTAGCTCGAAGAGGGCGCCGACTTGGGTGGTCCGTATTTGCTGGAAGGAGGAGCAGGTGCACCATAACTCTGGGATGGAGGCGAAGACTTCGGCGGTCCATAGCTAGAAGATGGCGGGGCACCATAGCTCTGCGATGGCGGAGCGGGTCTCGGGGCTCCATAGCTGGTGGACGGGCGACGATTGGTGGGGCTTCTTGGCCTGTGGTGGTGGTCCATACGACTGGCTCGGACGGCTAGGTGGTGGTCCGTAGCTAGAAGAAGGACGGGAGGCAGGTGGTCCATAAGAGCTGGAAGGGCGTGGAGCAGGCGCAGGATATGGGCCACCCGAAGAAGCACTCAACGATGGAGCCTGCATAACTGCTGGACGGGCCGGAGTTGAACGATGGCGCTGGACCAGAAGCAGGGGGCAAATATGAGCTGGCTGGTGGGGCACCATACTTGGATGAGGGACGTTGAGGCCCACTAGGTGGCAAGTAGGCGTTGTTTACCGGCGGCTCTGCTCCAACATCTTGGACCAAAGAAACGGCCACGATTGCCGCGGCGATGACACCGAAAAGCTGCTGTAAAAACGAGGAAATTAGTAAATTAGCTTTTTATATGACGAATCAATCGATGATCCACTTCAGTGGGATATCAACAGGTATGCACTTGAAAAAAAACTATGTTAAACTTAAGTGAATATCTAAATATTTCCATAAACAAATTTGAAATAATGTGTGTTGTCTTTTAAGGTGGATTTGCCTTTTCATTTTACTATTGTTAAATTTATATTAAAATCAAATATTTATTTATTCTTATGATATTTTCTCTCAATGTACTTACCACTCGCATGGCTACTGCTGCTTCTCCAGGGGATGAGCTCGATGCGCTTCGAATGCAAATTAACCGAACTGCAAGAGCGGGGAAAAGGGGAGCATTAGAGAAAATCAGATGAAAGTGGATTACTGGCAAAAAATAGTTATAGAAAGATTACGTTAATGTTGCGTAAGTTGTTTCTTTTTTATGGGAACCAAGACGACCGCGATGACCGAGACTTAGTCCACGGAGCGGGCTTAATCGCTCATCAATCTTGGCTCGGTCCGTCGGCCAATGCCAAGAACTGGCCAGCAGACGGAGCGTGTCGCCCGGCAATGAAATGAAAGCCATGGTGTACAGGCTGCCACTTAATTTGGCTGGCTTTTTGGAAAATCGCGGATGCAGACAAAAGCCAATGCAATCCACTGGCGAATTCCATCCGAAGCAGAGTGAAACTCTGTTGCCTTTCTTTAAGAAGGAAATTGAATAAAAAGCTGAATGTGGGGGCGTGATCGGCAGTGGCACAAAGCTGGCTTTTATGACATTGCAAAATCAGCCACGACAGTTGGCAATTTCTCAGCACCATTACCATTACACCCTCACTGGGTTGCATGTACTGTTTGGCTTTTCAGTTGGGTGACACATATATTTTCCTCTCTAGTAGCAGCTACTTCAGCTATTGCTGTCAATTAATGTCTTGCCTTTTTGGCCATATATTCGTTGTCGTCTTGACTCGTCCCGTTGCGTATTGTTAGTTTTCCATCACTTTGCCTTATTGTTTGGCTCGCGCCGCTTGTTTAGTGGTTGCAACTAATTTTTAATTATTTTTTAAAGTCCGTTTAAATGACTGGATGACCCGCAGAATGTGATGTAACTCTTAATGGGCCAAGCTGCTTATGCAAGAATTTTCACGGATGACAAGCCCGAAAAAAACAAATTCTTTTCGCTAATTTCGATCTAATATAGGAATTTTCGAAAAATGATTCGTTTAATTTACTTAAAAAATGAAAACTTAATTGCAAAAATAAGAAGCCTAAATAAATGTTTGTAACACACCTTTAGTAGTTGCTTAAATTTCTAGTAACCATTTTTAACAAATTTTTCTATAATATTGAAAATGTTGTTTTTCTTTAATGATAATAAATATTCCTGTTCTTATAATCCTGACTTATTATTATGACAATGAATACAAATAATCTGCAAAATTTAACTCCTGATTTTCAAAAACACTTTAATATTGCATTGGAAATGAAAAGCCAAAAACGTTTTCACACTTCCTGGCAATATTTGCTTTACGATGATTTATTTGTGTCCTGGAGAAAGACTTTGTCACTTTTCATTATTTATGACGATGACTGATGATTTATATTTTTAAAATCAGATATCCTTTATGCAGCACTAACCGTTTTCGTGGGCACCAGTTGCTTCTTAGATATTTATGGGGACACTTTGCAGACGATGCTCTGCCGATGGACGAATGCGAACTACACTGCTGTCTGATGCGCAGCATGCACTTTTATACAAAATCATAACCAAGCAAAGCCGCAAAAATAAAAACACAAACAAAAATTAAAAAAAAAAAACACAATAACAATGCGGACAGACGAAAATCAAAAGCTCCGAGCCAAACACAATGAGAAGAAGACGCTGGCAGCGGCCTGTCTTCGAGTTTGGTACTTTATGTAACACTTCAAATGCACTCACTCTTCGCCAGCCAACGGCCACCAGCCAAACCAAAACCAAACCAAAAGCCACAGAAACCGCTAGCAACCTCAGCGGCAAACCAGCTAACAAGCAACAGCGGCGCATGCGCGACTTTGCCGCTAAAGCTGCGCATCTGCCACAGCGAAATATCAGAAAAAAAAATATAACAAAGGCAGAGGCAACAGCAACAAAGCCACAGCGATCACGAAGCTTTTAGCATTTGCTTTTGTTTTTGCACTGATAAATTCAAATCGATCCAGTGCCAAGTTCAGTGGCAACATCTGTCATCGTTTTTGCCTTCTGCATGAATATGTCTTGGGTGCCAGCTAAATTGGTCTATTAAAATGCTATAATTTGTGTCTTTAATTGCATATATTTTAAGATGTTAACTACCAGTTGAGTCTTGCAATAAATGTCATGAACTTCTTTAAAAAAAAAAAACAAATATATTCTCAAAGTTAAGTTGTGCGAATAATAAAAGATATGAATAAGTTAAATAACTTAAAATTGCACAAGAACTTTAAAAGCTTTAAGAGTTAAGTTAGGAGTTAAAATTCCATAAATGAAATGATATATTATATTCTTCCTGTTGCTGACTGCTTTGTAAAACAACTCATTCTATTTTCTTTTTGAGTATTTTAAAATATAAAGAATTGTATTAAATACTTATTGAACGTAATGAAAAAGAAACAAACGAAAAGTAAACGCAAACTTTTCCATTTGGGCACAATTTTAAATTGAACAAATACTAACACTTCTCTAAAACAATATACCCCCTTTGAAGCAATCAATAACCAAAACATGTTGCAGTTCTCAATGTTATACGGCTGTGTCATTTATTTTTAGGCCACAGTTGGTGGCATCTCGGGCTTCTTCCAGATGTAGCTGGCCCAGGGGATGCACTCCTTGAGCAGGTGCATGTAGGCCAGTCCCTTGGGGCAGTCCACTTCGGTGGCTGGAGTTCCCAGGGTCTCGCACAGCCAGTACTTGGCGGCATCGAAATGGTGCGTGAAGGTCTGTCCAATTTCCGACTCATCCTTGCAGGCAGAGCGACCAGCATCGGCGTTCACGCTCACCACCAGGAAAGCGGCCAAAAAGCACAGAGCAACGACTTTTGAGGGGTTACGGGATAAGTGATGAAACAATAAGTAATCGATAGGAAAATAGCATTAAAATTCAACCTCACACCCACCAGACTTCATATTTTGTAGCTGTGAAAGTTTCTCGATAGAAGGAACCAACTGAGACCTCCACGTCTCGGGGATGGAACTTTTATACTTTTTGCAATGGGGGAACAGTGCCGAAAAAAACGAAGTGACAACAAGAATAATAAAAGTATTGACATTTTGACATACGCGAGCATCCGTTGATTATTATCAAGGGAGCATAGCAAAAAACTCAACAAAAATAGTATTTTTATCAAGATGGAGGAGATTCTGTCAAATAATACAGACTCCAGGGATGGTGGAAGGAAAGATAGCAAATATATTGAACCATTATTTAATGCATCATCGGGTGGTAGAAAAGAGCAAAATGCATTTCTAATGGATTCTTCTTGTACCATCCTTAAGTAGCATAATGATGAATCTATTTCTATTTAATTATGAATTTTATTGATTTCTTGATGTATATATCATAAAAAATCTCCTGTTTGTATATTTACACATTTTCTTTGTAATAACGTATTTATCTGCTTAATGTCTGTGAAATTTGATTCATTAATTTTTAGAATAATTGAAAATTGGCAAGTCCTCGATGAATACAAACAAACCATAATTCGTTAAGTCAACAGTCATTCAACATAATAACCATGACTATTTATTGACACTTTGTCAAGTGTAAGCCCAGCTGGCATGGCAAATCCATAATCGGATATTTCCATAATTCATAAAACAAATGCTGAAATCTGAATCCGTTTAAATTGTGAAACATTAAAGTCTATCGGCCCATTCATTAATTAATTGCAGACTATCTTTCCGATGGATATTTTTGTTTGTATTGTTTCATTTTTTGTTTTGTCATTTTGCAAAAGTATTTTGCATTTATGTTAACTGTTTGTTTCTTTGTTGCTTTGTTTGCCTGTGGTATCGCAGCCTCGGGCACCCCAGGCGCCAGTCCAATCCACTTGACCAATATAAATAGCAAAAGGCAGCAAAAATAAAATATGGCAAAAAACCTCACGAAATGTGCCGTCGTCTGAAGACCCAAAAAACTAAAAACCGTTTAGCAGCCGGAGTGGGTCGAAGATAAAAACCCTGAAAATCGCTTACAAAATGCTTTAAAGTGTAATTACTGTTTCCGCATTGAGCCCAGCTAAGTTGGAGATAGGAGGAGGAGGTGGCCAATCATCAGACGCAACTCCCCAGCGGGTGACTATTTTTTCTTTTAATTTGGCCAGGAGACAAGATGACGCTGCCGTATCGCATGTGTTAAGCTGACTGATTATTTCAGGTTGGCCAAGATATGATGGTGGCAACGCAGTGCAGCGGCTAATTATCGATTAAGCCGACACGCTCGGTCTCTGGGCCAAATCCAATTAATGCGGCCAAGTGAAATGCGGCTCGTTATGATTGCCATTGCTTAAACATTCAGGGCGACATCCGCAGGCGGGGAGGAGGCATGGGGAACTAGCTAGCTAAAAATAAATTGAAACTCATTTAGACTAAGTGATTTTGCTTGTGCAGCATGGGTCGAGGCAACAAGTGCCGAGTGCAGAGTGCGATAACGGGAATTCGGCAACACTATAAATATGCCAATTGGCGGCCTTCAATTGCAACACTTTCATCATGTACAAGGGTGAGCAACATCCTCTTCCATCCTCTTAAGAAATTTTCAATTCTATTCTATTTCTTCCCATTCCCATTTAGGCACCCTCATCTGCTGTCTGCTTTTGGGCCTGTTCCTGGCTTTCAGCTCCGCTTATAACGGCCAGGACATCTACGCCGAACCCAACTGCGCCATTGTCGAGGATCACGGCCGCAAGTTCCGCGACATCTCTGACCCCACCCACTACTGGATCTGCCCCGAAGGTCAAGAGAAGGCCGAATACATCCAGTGCCCGGACAACTACGCCTTCATGGAGAAGGAGCAGAACTGCGTCGTCTGGGAGGAGTGGAAGTGGGTTGAGCCCTACACCAAATAAACAGCCAAACTTGAGTTGAGAAGTGCAGAAAGTCTAAGCCGTTTATGTTTCTTTTCTGCCGCCAACTTTTTTGATTGGATTCGATTGGATTTACGGCACAGTGGTTGGGTCATTGGTGGTGCAAATAAATTAATTATGTGTCCTAACTTTGGACATCACAGTCAAACGGCTTTATGGTTAACTCAGCAATTCAATAAGAAAACTTGCCAAAAAGATGGATTCTTTCTTAGTTCCCTAAACTGAGTATTTTCTACCTTTACAAAACTGTTGATTTTCAAAACCTATCATAATAGTTCAAGTTGTTACAATCAACTTGTGATTATGTTGTTTTTCTGATTTCTCTTATTTGTTGTTAAATAATTCAAGTATTTGTATAACAGTTCTTGGGCAATGATTAGAAAACTGAAATTATAAGCCAAACCACTGATTGCATACCTTACACACCACACAAATCTTAAAAAAATTCCATGACGGCCTAACAATCTAAAACTCCAAGTCACCATATCTTATAGAGACTATTATATAACAGCGCAATTGCCGGGCGTGCTTGTCCGGTTTTCACTGTAATGATGCTGCCTTGGACCTGAACTTGAGCCTCCACCTGAGTCTGAGCTCCAGCCCAAAGGCCCAAATGCCCAATGAAGCAGAACTTTTAATTAACCAAGTCGAAGATACACACACTCACACACATCTGCTGACGATTCCCAGGGGCGCTGTGGGCCATCATGATGTCACGGAGTAGAGGAATGAGAAGGGAGGGCCATCATGAACTTTACGGCCCGGAATATGAGATAGGTCTGATAAACGATAATTAGGCAGTGCGTGTCTGTTGCGCTTGTAATGTTATCTAACACCTTCGATTGGCAATCAAAGCTGTTGCCGCTGTGCTGCTACCACAATCAATCAACTTGTATTGTGTCCGCTCGCCGAGTCTGCGATCAGCAGTCATTCAAAGTTCGAAAAGAGGAAAAAATAGAGCCAAAGTCGCACTCCAGTACTAGTGCTCCAATTTGAAGCTTAACAAAATATCTATCAAAATTGGAGCTCACAAATATATGAGTTTTTTTGGTGGCTGGGTAAAAGTCATAAATATCAAAGCGTGGCGAAGAGAAACACAAGCGCTCGCATTAAAAGTGAAAAGTACTTCAATAAATTTAGTTAGAAATCATTGCCGCAATGCAAACACGCAGTTTTTATAGTCGATGGATGGTCTCAAGTGTTGTGTGTGGTTCGTGGGCTCGTTGTGGATGCCCCACGGCAGTTGAAGTGCCCGTCGATGATGGCATCACATAATGAATTCAAAGGTGCTGGTGGTGCCTCGGCACTCACCTTACCCAAAAAAAAAATATCTCAGGCCAGCCATTGAAGAAAGTCAGCGCGGCCTTGACAAGGCGAAGAAGCTCCATTATCTGCATACAGATAAGACTCAATTCCCATTCCCATTCCCAGTTCCATCCCCAATGGCCATGACAAAGGTAATGGTAATGGCAATGCCAATGGTAATGGCGATGCCAACTAGATACTCACACTCCTATTGGGGCATGAAAACAAAGCAGTGTCATTAGTTGCTTCATTTGCCAATACAATATAGTAATGTGGGCTTTATGTTTATCAGATGTCGCCTCATTTCTGGGTTAAGATGAGCTGCAAGCCGCAGCTTTTGGCGCTCCAATCTCGAGTGCTGTGTCGCACTTGGCCAGCAATTACATCGAAAAACGACATCAATAATTATTCCCATTATGTATTTACCAGTATCTTCATGCATCTATGCAGAGTTGTGCAAATAAGACGAGCACTTATCAAGAAAACGAAGCTGCGACATTGAACCAATTTTCACGTCTTTGTTTTCAGCTAATAAATAAATACACATTAATGACTAAATCATTTAATGATAGACATATTAAAGATCATTGCTATTATGTATGAATCTATAGGGGTTGGGTTAAGTGCACACTAGATATTGGATATTTATCTAAACTTCACTAAAAAAAAATTAAATGTTATTTTTGAAAAGCATAAAAACTGTTCTGCTTAAAAGAAACAGTTGCCCGTATATTATATTCTTATTTTTATAAAAGTTTTAATGTTTATGTTAAAAACTATTTGATATAAATATCAAAATTTCTTTTTCAAGTGTAAAGTCAGATTTTTATTTATTTTTCTGCCCTCTATAAACCCCACCAAAAAATGGAATATATGAATATTTAATTATGTTTGAAAACCAATTAATATTCCACAAAAAAGTGGTAAGTTTCCATGGGCAAAGTTTAAAGTGTCCCTCAGTTTTATGGAAGCATTTTAATTTGCATTAAGGATTAACTTTTTTGACCTTGACTAATTGGGTATGCGAAACGCAGTTCTGAGTTTTCAGTTTCCTCGTCATTTAGCCACAGACTGTAACAGTCTTTAGTAATTATCTATCGCAATTCATCTCAATCCCACTGACGAACCAAAAACCGCAGACTTTAGCCACTTTGATTGATGGCTCCACTGATTTGACTGATAAGAAAGCATATGTATGTACGCTCTTTGTATAGCAGACAGTATGGCCATATATCTAATACATGGGCTGTCAGGCCAGGTGAGTGACAAATTGACATGTCGCAAAAATGATGAATTTACCAGTGGCGGGTGGACAGAAGAAAATCCACTGACAGATACACAGATAGATATATGTATGTCTGGAAAAACTGAAGAAGTAGAATCCAAATGACCTTTCATCAAGCTGACAAATAAATTCAAAGCGACATGACTGCTTAGAGCCGCCCTCAAGCGATCTAAAAAATGGTATTTGAGTGCTCTGGGCTCAAATTTAGCATAGGTCAAAGTTCGCAACTGAAACGGGATTTCGGTTCAAGTCCATTGCTGACGTCATTGAGCCATCGAGCCATCCAACATGGCATCCACATACCCACATCAGGAACAATAATCCCGGAGCTGTAAGCGAAACTGTAACCGAGTCTGAAGTCAGGTGGCGTGAGGAATATCAACACCATCTCGGCCACATCTCACCTGTCAGCCTGGCTCACCTGTATATTTCCTTGGCTGGATGGGTGGTGGCAATTCAGGCAATCCCCTTCGTGATATGCTCATTAATATTTCACAGTCTGGCCCTCTTTTTTTTTGCCATACGCAATTTATATGCATTAAAACTTTATTCTTGTTTCAAACGACGACCGACGAAATGTCACTGTTCATCCGTAATGATTGCCAAGGATCCAAGTGATTGAGGTCTGTCATCTGCAGACTGTTAATTGAATTGAGGGCTTATACAACCAGACAAAGCCTGAAAATGTTCAATATTTCAACAGGGAGCATCAATGTTCTTTGCTGGTCTCAAAAATAATTAGAACATTGTTTGCCATTCCATTTCCAATTGAGTGCACTTCGAAAATTTTCCATAATAATGGGTTATGTTAAGGTAATTATTTTTAAACAAAAAATCTTAAATATAATTAGCAAAGTTGCTAATATGCTTTTTATTAAGTTTTTAAAATATGTTTATACGACTATCAAAATAAACAAGCAGTTCAATTTCTTTTTGTTCTCAGACAATTTATGTTCATTTCTTATAAGCCGAATGTCATCAAAACAAATTTGAAGTTCTTTGTGGTGTTGAATAATTCTCAACCTCTAAACGATATTTAAAACAAAATAAATAATATACATATTTTTTGACCAGTGTTATCCACAATCCATCCACCCATTTTGTAGTCAGTTATGCCAAATCATCGGCAAATTGTAAAAAGTTTTTTTTTATAGTTTCGAAATATGAGGATGAGAGGAAAGGAAAACAAAAACTGCACTTATCGCAGCACAAAGCTTTCACCACAGTTGCTACCCCTCAATTCCAGCCAAGCTAACAGCTGATGAACAGCTGGAAGCCATATGTGTCTTGGTGGGAGAGCTGGAAACATTCAGATGGAAGGCAGAGCGTGTTCATTCTGCCAGGAACCGAAGGAATCTACGCGGGTAACGGCTCCGCCTACCGCTTCCAGTCGACTCCTAGTTCGTGTGGATGTGTGTGTGCGTGGGAGAGGATATGACATTTGTATGGGTGACAAGGCCACACCCACGCGGCCATGTTTGAATGAAATAACAGTAAAAGCAAACTGAAATGCCAAAATGGCAAAGACAATCGGGAAATGGATGAAAAGGGAAGCTCAAATACATTTTGCTGGAACGAAATGACAGGTGAAACATGGTTTACAAAATGGAAAATGGAAACTGAAACACAGTAATATGAATTTAGGTTACAGGCCAGAGGGAAAGAGACAGTCAAACAGAAAGGAAAAGAGACAGAGTGGGGTGGTTTAAATTAACTGCAAGTGTGGTTTTCGTTGTTGTTTCGCGCTTAGCAAGTTAGTTAAGGTCATCGAAATGTCAAAAGTTGCATTCTCCGATTTTCGAGGGGCAGGGATAATAACACGCACACCAAGGCGTATCAAATTGCACGCGACATTTGCAATTAATTTTGGTGGAATGTCCTTCCAAAAACCACACGAATATTTTTCGGACATTTATCTATTATTCCCTTGCGGTTTTTTGTTTTATTTTTGGCTGCCTCCATCCCTTTTGCACCCATTCAAAAGTTGCTTTGATGTCGGCCATTGTTAGTTCTTCTTCTTTTTCGTCGTTGGCTCACTTACACACTTCAACACTTTCGGCAGCCATTTTGATGGTTGCTGTTCCTTTGAAATTCCACCACTCGTGACACTCCACACACACATACACTGTACACACACATATATGCTGAGAAGGAAATTCCTTAGCACTCTTTTGTGGGTTCTGCATTTCCTCTTTCTCCTTCCTTGACACTTGCCATCTGCCCTCTCTCCCCTGCTCATTCTAACATCCTCCATCTCCCTCTCACTGCGCAAAGCAGCGTCTTAATTTTAATTTTATTGATATTATTCAGTTTGCGCAGATTCCATTAGATTTTATTGCCCACCACATTTTATGCATTCTCTGTAGATTTCCCCTAATCTGTTTGCCAATTCCAACATTAGTTCGCCACTTTACTACAGACTTGCTTTT